GGCCGTAAAGACGCCTTCTTAGTCTCTATAAACTCACATAACCTTAGATTCAGAGTTGACGGTAAAGTAAGATAAGTAATCGACTCATGAAAATATTATAGAAACTTTTATTTTTTGGTCATGACAGGTGAGTAAAGGCGAGAGTTTACCTGACACTACGTAATTATTGGTCATTCTCTTTGAAGGCTTTGTATAGGAATGAATGTGAGATTAGGTTTGGTTTTTCTTATTTAAAATGATAAGCTAACAGCAATTTTAGAGTTTTGTTAAGCATTATTAGTCATTATCCTTAACCCTAGTGGAACAGAGACAAGGCAATAGTTAATGTGCCTATGTTTTACACGTAGTTAATTAATTCCAAATGAAGATAGGAGTGTAATTATTAGTTTTAAATCGAATTATAAAAACAAAAAATTGTCTTCAAATTCTTTACACCGTTGCCGACATGTTTACGTGAGCTGGTAAGGAAGGATGCTGGTCATTTGTATGGAGATGACTCTTGGTGATAAACGACTTTGAACAATTCACCAACACTTTGTGGGGAAAACTTGAGACGTAAAAGACCAGTTTGTGGTTTTTGTCATCACCGACCTGAAAGATATAAGGTTGGAGAGTTTTGTTTATTTAATATTATACTAATTTTAAACTCCCGTCACAGGCTCAATATTTTTTTATTTATTTTTTTAGATTTTTACAGCATTCGTGTCAGCTACCAAACGACAGAATAAAAAAACTCATAATCCACCCCTCCAAAAAAAACATGATTTCTAAACCTTTTTACAACAACTGTGCGGGGAAATTGTGCTTAATTTTCTTATACAAAAGCCAACAGTGAACGAGTGCCCAGCCTGACCCCGGGGGACCCCAACAACACAACACTCACGAGGCAAAATTTCACACCTAAAAAAAAAAAAAAACAGTTCCTCAAACCAGCAGCAATAGACTGTGGTAAAGAAAATACAACTGCTTATACCTGTAAGTTTCACCTTTGGCCTCTTTTAGACCAGCCAGCCAGTAAGACCAGACCATCTTTCACAGCACTGCCACCACCACCACCACCACCACCTCCTCCGTCTCCCCACCTCCTCCCGTCCCCCACCTCCTCCCGCCCCCTCCCGTCCCCACCTCCTCTCCCCCACCTCTCGACACTATTTAATTGGATTTTTACCTTCTGCTGGATTTCTAAAGGTGTCTGGTAAGTACAGTGAAACCTCCATATAACGGACTCAATGAAACCTCCATATAACGGACTCAATGAAACCTCCATATAACGGACTCAGTGAAACCTCCATATAACGGACTCAATGAAACCTCCATATAACGGACTCAATGAAACCTCCATATAACGGACTCAGTGAAACCTCCATATAACGGACTCAATGAAACCTCCATATAACGGACTCAATGAAACCTCCATATAACGGACTCAATAAAGCCTCCATATAACGGACTCAATGAAACCTCCATATAACGGACTCAATGAAACCTCCATATAACGGACTAATCTCTCCATTATAATCCGTTAGATGGAAGATTCCCATATAACGGACCTTTGATTTAACAGATTGTCATTTCCATATAGGTCATTAGGTGAATCATCACTACATCAACTGAATCATCACTACATCAACTGAATCATCACTACATCAACTGAATCATCACTACATCAACTGAATCATCACTACATCAACTGAATCATCACTACATCAACTAAATCATCACTACATCAACTAAATCATCACTACATCAACTGAATCATCACTACATCAACTAAATCATCACTACATCAACTGAATCATCGCTACATCAACTGAATCATCACTACATCAACTAAATCATCACTACATCAACTGAATCATCACTACATCAACTAAATCATCGACTAAATCATCACTACATCAACTAATCAACTCATCACTACACCAACTAATCATCATCACTACATCAACTAATCAACTAAATCATCACTACATCAACTAAATCATCACTACATCAACTAAATCATCACTACATCAACTAAATCATCACTACATCAACTAAATCATCACTACATCAACTAAATCATCACTACATCCAACTGAATCATCACTACATCAACTAAATCATCACTACATCAACTAAATCATCACTACATCAATTAAATCATCACTACATCAACTAAATCATCACTACATCAATTAAATCATCACTACATCAACTAAATCACTACATCAACTAAATCATCACTACATCAACTAAATCATCACTACATCAACTAAATCATCACTACATCAGCTAAATCATCACTACATCAACTAAATCATCACTACATCAACTAAATCATCACTACATCAACTAAATCATCACTACATCAACTACATCAACATCAAATCATCACTACATCAACTAAATCATCACTACATCAACTAAATCATCACTACATCAACTAAATCATCACTGCATCAACTAAATCATCGCTACATCAACTAAATCATCACTACATCAACTTAATCATCACTACATCAACTGAATCATCACTACATCAACTGAATCATCACTACATCAACTAAATCATCACTACATCAACTAAATCATCACTACACCAACTGAATCATCACTACATCAACTAAATCATCACTACATCAACTTAATCATCACTACATCAACTAAATCATCACTACATCAACTAAATCATCACTACATCAACTGAATCATCACTACATCAACTAAATCATCACTACATCAACTAAATCATCACTACATCAACTAAATCATCACTACATCAACTAAATCATCACTACATCAACTAAATCATCACTGCATCAACTAAATCATCACTACATCAACTAAATCATCACTACACCAACTAAATCATCACTACATCAACTAAATCATCACTACACCAACTAAATCATCACTACATCAACTAAATCATCACTACATCAACTAAATCATCACTACATCAACTAAATCATCACTACATCAACTAAATCATCACTACATCAACTAAATCATCACTACACCAACTAAATCATCACTACATCAACTAAATCATCACTACATCAACTAAATCATCACTACATCAACTAAATCATCACTACATCAACTAAATCATCTCTATTAACACATGACTCATCACTATACCAGACTAGAGTATAGTTGGGCCTCTTACCATATTAATTATTGAGCCCTAATTTTAAGTTCACCTCACTAAGTACACCTCAGCGTACCTCATCAACATTTTCAAGAATGTTTCCTAAAAATTTCCGGGTGTACAGCACCACGGACCATAATGGCCTCCAGCAGCGGCACAACCCATATCAAGCGTCCAGCAGCCGACAGGATTTCTCATCTGACGACGCTGTGAAGCATATTTATCCTGAAATGCCGTTCCGTAACCCTAGCGTGTCCGTTGAAGAATATACTAATTATTATTATGGAAATATGTGCCTTAGGTGCTGTCGGGAAGTCGAAGCCAGGCTCCAGCAGAAGGGTCCCTCATCTCTAGAGGTAGTGACACTGATGACTCCTATAATGCCGTTCCGTACCCCCGCCGTGACCCTCGAAGACTACAACGACTACTACGTTAGTCAATTGTACCGCAAAACCCAGCAGAGTGGTGAATCAATTGGCCAAAACCCGGATTATGGGTCATTCTTTGGGTGGGTTTATAAAACTTTGGTAAATATGTTTCAAACATTCTTTTCTAAAAAGTAAAAACTGACCCCACTAACTTGTCGGCCATAAAGAGATGGGCTCTAAACCTGTACGACGATTTATTGAATAAATATTTTACGATTATTATTGTTTATTATTAGTAGTAGTAGTATTAATATTGATTACATTACAGAACTATAAATGAATGGATGGCAATAAATGAAGGGAGAATGTGTGTGTGTGTGGGGGATAAAACCAGAGAGAGGAGGTAATTTAGGTCTGGGAGTGGGGGAACTGAACATATAAGTGGGTAGGTTCAGAGAAGGTTTGAATGAAACCCCAGGCAGACAGGGTTGGGGGTTCTCGAGTTAGAATAATGTAACATAAACATCACCTGGCAACTTCTTCAGTCAATTGCTCTCGACAAGACATTTTTACATACCAATAACGGACAACAGCCAACACGAGAGATATAGAATCAACGTATTGGGAAAGTTTCAATTCAATTCCATATATATAGGAAGTGCATCATTTACCTTTCAAAAGCACATCTGTTTATGGTAAATTGAGACCACAAGAGTTGTACCAAACAATATCAATCGATTTTAACCTCAGCAGTAAGTGATTTTTCTTTTATATTCTTTTTCAACCTAAACTGTTCACTGGCAAGGTAATGAGCACCCTAAAATGATTTATGAAACACCTCAAAAGCATCATCTTCTATTTTCACAAAACCTAGAACCGCACGTAAACTTAGCAACAGTCTACACACACACACACACACACACACACACACACACACACACACAACATTCTGGGGTGGCAGGAAACGTACATATGCTTCCTGGAGAAATATTATGGTGATCCTACAAGATGGGGGTAACCTTTGCCTAAATTCATATAAAAATATTATCAACATTTCCTAAAATATATAATAATGCATTACAGAGTTAGAGTGGCTATACTAGATGAAGACTCTTGTATGTGTGTGTGTGTTGTAAACTTTTGGTAACCCTTTGATGTTAACCTCATTATCTCTCTCTGTGAACTAGAGGCAACGAGGGTTTTTTTATAATTTCAGGTAGAGACAAATAATGAATCTTTATTATACTATTCACCTCCCGGTAATACGTCTGTACAGTGATAATACTACTTAGGATAATTTTATAAATGTAAATCCTACTACACTATGTACACTTATTAATTTATTTTATAAGTAATGTTCATAGAAAAGTCTGCTCCAGGCACTCCTATAATTATTTATTTTTTATTGTGATGGAGGAGAGAGTCACTGACCTCCTCTACCTCATAATGATGTAAATATTACCAACTTAATAATGATAATTGTTTCTCTCCCCCTACAGTGACACAGTTAACGGGCGTGGGTAACCTGGCCTTCACGAAGCCTTCCTACGAGGTGTTCGTCCAGGAAAACACGGCGCCCGTCCTACTGCTCACTCTCCACGCCGCCTCCAACACCACCAGTCAGTACAGTGCTTCCTATCCGTGTCTCTTCTCACCATCATTGTGTATTTATCTTTGTAACAGACAACAGACTCTTCGCTCCAGCGTTTTACAACTTAAGTAAAGTCGGATATAAAAGTTCGTTCCCGGTGGTGAAACTTTTGAGACACGGGAATGAGTCTCCGAACTGACTTAACCTGAGTGTTGTTTGGGAGGGAGTGAACTTATAAACCCCGACTGTTTAGGTCTTATTTACTAAAGTTATGAAAGTCCATCAATAATTGAAGACGATTACTTATTAAATACCTAACACACCCTGACCTGTATACCAATGTTTCCTTGACAGATGAATGTGAAGGTGAAACAACCAATCGACTACTCCATGTGTCTCTAGTACCGAATGTTGCAGCAAAATTCACATTATAACACATTTAAAATATTCACTGCACCAGGTCGGCATTAAGAGCATTTAATTCCCACGAAACGGTGAAATCTGAGGCGGTGTTTTATTACATGTTAATCAAAAAGCAATAGTTTTGTCTTGTGGATAGCCAGGCTGTGGGTGGTGGTGGGGGGGGGGGGTTCTTAGAGTAGACAATACTTAATTAATCCACGAATTAAACAAATATATATAACACAACTGAAACACTCAATTTACAGAGGGACTCAAAGACTGACTCATATCCTATGAATTCACGGCTCTTCACAAACAGTTTATATATAATTATTCCCTAACAATTGTTCACTTGTAACTGTGTGTAATGAACGATGAACGTCAGTCACGGGTAAACGAGTCAGCCAGTCCCTCCCAACCATTAATTTCTTTAGTCTCTTAACTAAATCAAAGTTCACTCAATCATGTAACAGTTTTCAAATTACTTTATCTCTCATTAATTCCTAGAAGGTGTAAGTCCTGTACCTGTTTATTTTTCCTAAAGAAATACAATTTGATGGAAATTACGTGAAACTATGGTGTTTTTATTCGGATACTTGAACCTTTGATCTTTATAAACAATGGCTTAACTTTAGGAATTTATATATATTTTATTCGTAAATTATATAATGGATTAATCCGCATGTGTAGAGAGGTCGTTAACCCCAGGCACAAAAATAAAGGAGAATCGTTGACCAGCGGCCGATCCAGGAATATCACTTGATATTAAGAGATATTTTGAAGCCAATATTCATTACTTTTTACTATACAAAAACGCCTGAGTACAATACTGTATTAAAGAAAAAGTATTGGAATTTTCTGATAAAAAGGGGGTGTCCAGACCCACGGGAACCCTCCCTCCCCCCTGGATCCGCCCCTGTTGACGAGAAGTCTTGCAGGATGGCACGTCGCCTACCTGCTTGCTAACCTAAAACAATCTCTCTCTCTCTCTCTCTCTCTCTTCTCCTATGAATAATAATTGGTACATTAAAGTAAAGTAATATTCCTCACGTTCCTTCAGTATCATCAGTGGTCGTTGAAGAGAGTTTAAGCGATACTGTTTTGTTTATCAGTCTCGTGGGAGGAGTTACCGCTGGGTGGTTGAATGTGGGTGCGCCAGGTCCGTAGACTTGCTAGTGATGGATTCAGTTCCTCCTCGCTCGCCAGTCAGCTTATCCCTGCTTGAAAATACCTAACCTAACCTAACCTAACCTAACCCTAAGTTTTCATTGCTGTTTTGATCGGCCTCTGTATTTTATCGAGAACGTATTTAACACGGTATATGCCCAGTACGTTCCCCCCCTTGTTAGAGTGAGCTATGATCCCTGCTCGAGAGGATTACTTCACGCTAAGAGGATCTTCCCGTATCTGCCCGAGCTTGTTAGTGTTGGCTTACCATATACCTCTATTTAACGGACTATCGGGGGAGGAAAGTCCGATATATCGAGGGTCCGTTAGATGTGAAACCCCCCATCTAACGGATTATATGGGAAAATAAGTCCGTTATATGGAGGTTTTATTATAAAGTTTGCTATTTAATAAGTTACCCCAAATTACACCAATAAAAAGTTACCAGTTAATTAGTTTTTTTAATAGATATTTTCTTCCTCATTCCGCACAAGAAGGAAGCATTGGAAAGAGAGAGATGATAGAGAGAGAGATAAATGGAGGAGGAAGAGAAGAAAAGCGAAATAAACTAAATAAATTATCAATGACTACGCTGCTGAGTTGATGTTGTCAGCGTCATGGCGGCGATGATGAAGGGACTACGAACCTAAGATAAAAGTTTACAGACGGATTAACCTTCTGTATATATATATATAATATACCTATCTCTCTCTCATAATTTATTCCAACCGACCATATTGATATAGGCAAAAGCGATATACGACAATTCTGCTGTGATATCCCAACGTCATAAATTAATAAGTTCGTGCTGTTTGGTGACGATGTTTTGAAAGCCATTAATTCAGGGTTATATATTTAAAGGTCGAATAAATAATTAATCAGTTACGTTTCAGGTATTCCAACTGGACGTTAATGGGAGTAATATTATAGAGTGATGTATCCTACCACTTGTCTCTGCCTGCCCACCTCTCTCTCGGGCCACACTGATGACTATAGCTTATCTATCCATGGCCACAGTATCTTAATATATCTACCCGTGGCCACAGTGGTCTACCTCTATATGGCCACAGTGTTTACCTTTTAACCTGTCATTCCCGGCACTAATAATTAATAACTAAGTAACGAAAGTAATTAGATATGTAAAGACGTGTAACCTAACCTAACCTAACCTAACCTAACCTAACCTAATCTAACCTATGACATCACTGTGGACAGGTATGGGCGTGATGTACGGGGTGGTGGCGGGGGCGGTGGGCGGCCTCTTTACTGTAGGGGCGTACAGTGGTAACCTCACCCTCACGGCGCCCCTCGACTATGAAACCAAACACATGGTAAGTCTCTCTCTCTCTCTCTCTCTCTCTCTGGTCATCTGGGTTCGTGTGTGATTCTGCCAGGTTCATGTTTAATAATAATAATAATAATAATGTAGAGTATTAACCTTTTAAAACACTGTAAAGTCAAATACTAACCTGACCAAGTATCCGAGTCAACACCAACACACTGGGTACATGAGAGTCTAGTGTTGTACCGCGGGCTGTACACACACCTTCAGCACCCAGTATAAAATATCACGTCTTGTTATGTGACAATAGTGTTACTCAGGTGGCACCAGCAGGCAGTAACACGGCTCATCCTCCTCCTCCTCCTCCTCCTTCCCTTCCTCTTCCTCCTCCTCCTCCTTCCCTTCCTCTTCCTGTTGTTCCTCCTCCTCCTCCTTCCCTTCCTCTTCCTGTTGTTCCTCCTCCTCTTCGTCCTCCTCTTCTCTCCCTGAACAGTATGAGGTGATATTGAGCGCCTTAGCAGGAGAGGAGCGGGCCTTCGTCAGAGTGGGGGTGAGAGTTTTAGACGCCAATGACCAGTCGCCTACCTTCTCGAGGCCTCTGTTCGAAACCCAGATCACGGAAGAGGACGATCGACACCTACCTAAACCTATCCTACAGGTGAGATACTACTTAACACCAGGTATTTATGTATATGTTTGTCAGTCATTACCAAATATTAGACAACACGGAATTGATATCAAACTTGCTTCTACAAATTATTCAAATATTCACATAATTATTGGTTTGTTTGTTCGTGTGTGTGAGTTCTTTGTTCTTTAAGACCTAATGGTGATAGAAATTGTCCTCCAGAACATTGTCACTGTTCACCACCAGCCTCGTCGATACAGTTCAGTATTTACCACACGGGAGAGATATTCGCGTTGGTGGGCAAATACAGCTGCCCAAACACGTCTCTCTCTCTCTCTCTCTCTCTCTCTCGAAACAACAGATATGAATACAGTTACAGATACAAGAATTTCAAGACATTACATAAACACCATACAGGAGGAGAAATATATACACTATCACCCCCCTCCCTGAATTATTTTAAACACACACACACACACACACACACACACACACACACACACACACACACACACACACACACGGGTCTGAGAAATTCCACTGATTGATGGTGTGAGGAGAAGAGGAGGAGAGGGAAGGTCGTGTTTGGACAGAGGGAGAGATTGATCGTTGTACAGTTGACTCTCTCTCTCTCTCTCTCTCTCTCTCTCTCTCTCAGGGATACGGGAAACTCAAGAAGACTATTAAATTTCATTGACATAATAAAGTTTGGATGGATCGGTAGTTGAGACAGACAGACATATACAGTAGACAGATAGACAGATAGACAGGAGATGGTGTTACTCAACTGTTAACATGAAGGGAAAGTGTGAGTGTGTGTTAGTCCCTGGTAGAGGTGTAGTCTTAACCTGGCTTTAAATGGTACTCTTGTTAACGTCGAAAATATATTTTAACGTAACCATTATGTATGTATGTATGTATGTATGTATGTATGTATGTATGTATGTATGTATGTATGTATGTATGTATGTATGTATGATAATCTTACAATGAATCTCTTTGGAAATTAAAATCATACATAATATTTACGTTTATAACCACAAGTAATATTTTTTCTTTATTATCAGGTTAATAGAGAGTTATTTAATCTAGGACTTTCCTCTGTTAAACCTCTCACACTCTATTAGATTACGTTAATATTTTGTCTATGATAATTTGGTCATATCTTTCAAATATATTCAATAAAATTCCTCTTGGGATTTTTTTTATTTTTAATGGGGAACTATGTTGTTTGTTATACCTGTAGGAACTTTATTTTGTTGTCTTTTAAAAAAAATTGGCAATTTTTTGTTACTTTTATTTCATTATTTTGTATTTTATCTAATTTTATTTTTGTATTCTTCTCTTCTCTTCATTTCTCCTCTTTATCTTTTGTTTTCGCTGTACAGTCATCCACAAAAGTCCTGACGCCTCTCCTGAACCACGAACCCCTGAGATTCAGACTCGTGAACCCGAAACATTTATGGACAGAATGATACATCAGTCTAGTGCTTCGGGTTCACGAGTCCGAATCTCAGGGGTTCGTGGTTCAGGAGAGGCGACAGGACGAGTGTAGGTGAGTGTATACTGTATTTACACACCTCAGCCACACTTCCTGGGGTTGTATTTGTGAAGTGATTCCGTTCTTCTTCTTTTTCGATCTTCCCCCATCATCTCTCTCTCTCTCTCTCTCTCTCTCTCTCTCTCTCTCTCTCTCTCTCTCTCTCTCTCTCTCTCTCTCTCTCGTTTCAATAAACCTTATGAATCATTTAAAGATTTGCCTCTCATCTTATTTCACCCGATGATTTAACACCCTAAAGCTACCTGAAGGAGTTTTGGTTAGGTTAGGTCAAGTTTTGGTTAAGTTATGTTAGGTTTGGTTTGGTTAAGTTAGGTTGTGGTTAAGTTAGGTTAAGTTAGGTTATCTCTGAAAAACTTTGTCATCTTTTTTTATAATATACAAAGACATTTAGGTCCATTTCACTTATCCTATGTTCATTAACACACTCGTAGACCGTCTTATTAAAACTCAGTCTCGTTCCATCCACACACATTCACCCAGCCCATTGTTGCTCTTCAGTACCAGAATACAAAAATAATATAAATAACTAAGTTCATTTACCCTTTTTTTTTTTTGGTCTGAAGTCACTGCGGGGTATTGTTGCATAATGCCGCAATGAACATTTATAAACATCGAAAACTTATGTCTAGTGTGACAGGTCCAAGTAAATTGCACGTTACCAGAACACCTCGTAGCCATTCGCTTTGCATACTGAATGGTAGCGTAAAGTGAGTGAGGCTGGTGTTACTATCTGTTCCTCACACACACAAACACACACACACACACACACACACACACACACACACACACACACACACACACACACACACACAAGGCACCTCTGCTTCTGTTCTCAGTATCTCTTGTCATTCCTCGGATTAAATTTCCTGTAACAACTCAAGTCACGAACTCTTATCAGCCTCTTACGTGATCTCTCTCTCTCTCTCTCTCTCTCTCTCTCTCTCTCTCTCTCTCTCTCTCTCTCACACACACACACACACACACCCAGTACCTCTTCTATCATCAAGGACGTGACTCTCCTGAACAGTAGAAAGCGAAGAAAATTTGAGACAGATCAAAACAGTCGACCAAGAGTCCCCTGCACGCGGCGCCTGACAAACTCGAAGCAATAAAGTCACCCGTAGCAAGTTTTGGTACAGATTATTTACGTCTGGCGAAGAGAAAACGATAGATATGGCCCTTAGATAAACACACACTAAGTCTCTATGTTGATTATTTAAGTATGGTACTGTTCGAGTTGGGTAGATGCTGTAGTGTTATCAAAGGAGTGAGAGCTGTTTTATGCTTTTTTATCTTCTTACCTCTATTTTCTATTCCTTCCTGTCTTCCTTTTCCATCGCTCCTCCTTTCCACCTCCCGTCCCTTCCTTTCCACCTCCCGTCCCTTCCTTCCCACCTACCTTCCCTTCCCCCACCTACCGTCCCTTCCCACTTCCACCTGCAGTCCCTTCCTTCCACCTACCTTCCTTCCACCTCCGTCCCTTCCTTTCCACCTCCCGTCCCTTCCTTCCCACCTCCTGTCCTTCCTTCCCACCTACCGTCCCTTCCTTCCCACCTACCTTCCTTCCCACCTACCGTCCCTTCCTTCCACCTACGGTACCTTCCTTCCCACCTCCTTCCCTTTTCCCACCTACCTTCTTTTCCCTCATTCTTCTAACCTTCCACCACCCCCTCTCTCTCCTCCTTCCTTCCTTCCCTCCCTCACCGACCCTCCTCTCTCCCACCTCACCTTTCCTCCACGCTGAATTCCTTACAAATGGATGTAGATGATTTACCCAGGTCACCAGATACACTCCCCATAATCCTGATTCCCGACAAGACCCGAAATATTGACCGACCCAACAGCTGTACTGTGCTCAGGTTCGCCGCGATCAAATGGTTTGCAATTCAAATTTCTGCCCCGCGAGCGTTTGACTGAGCTTCACTCGTCTCAATAGTAAAAATTATAAGAAATAGCTTTTAAGATATGATTTACGTCACAGAATTATATGAATGTTAAGAAATAAAACATAATATTTAATGTAATCTTGGAAAAACAAAATGTTTCTTAAAAATATCGTTTGTAAATAGTGAGTCAAGTGTCGGGAGAGAGGAGACAGTTTATTTCCTCTCTAATAAATAATAAACAAAACTACAAATCCCCAAATCAATAACAAATCACAATACTGCCTTAAATCACCCTTACGTAAATTACATCTCATTCACTGCTAAGGAATCACCCTCTCCCTTAGGAATATTTTAGTCTTCAATATATTTCCTAGACGAAGACTGACTCGTCACCTGAGACCAAAGCTCACCTTTAGGGGAGAGATATTCAGAATATCCGGGATACGTGTACTCCTGAACCCGCTCCAGTTAGTCACTATCTTGGCCACGCGAGGAGGAGGGGGAGGAAGAGAAGAAGGCGACGGAAGAGGAGGAGGAGGAAGAGAAGAAGGCGAAGGAAGAGGAGGAGGAGGAAGAGAAGAAGACGAAGGAAGAGAAGGGGAAGGAAGAGGAGGAAGAGGAGGAGGAGGAAGAGAAGAAGGTGAAGGAAGAGGAGGAGGAGGAAGAGAAGAAGGCGCAGGAAGAGGAGGAGAAGGAAGAGAAGAAGGCGAAGGAAGAGGGAGGAGAAGGAAGAGGAGGAAGAGGAGGAGGAGGAAGAGAAGAAGGCGAAGGAAGAGGAGGAGGAAGAGGAGGAAGAGGAGGAGGAGGAAGAGAAGAAGGCAAGGAAGAGGAAGAGAAGGAAGAGAAGAAGACGAAGGAAGAGGAGAAGGAGGAAGAGAAGAAGGCGAAGGAAGAGAAGGAGAAGGAAGAGGAGGAAGAGGAGGAGGAGGACGAGAAGAAGGTGGAAGGGAAGAGGAGGGGGGAGGAAGAGAAGAAGGCGAAGGGAAGAGGAGGGGGAGGAGGAAGAGAAGAAGGCGAAGAAGGTGAAGGAAGAGGAGGGGGGAGGAGGAAGAGAAGAAGGTGAAGGAAGAGAGGAGAGGAAGAGCGAAGGAAGAGGGAAGGAGAAGGAAGAGGAGGAAGAGAAGAAGGCGAAGGAAGAGGAGGAGGAGGAGGAAGAGAAGTGAAGGAAGAGGAGGAGGAGGAAGAGAAGAAGGCGAAGGAAGAGAAGGAGAAGGAAGAGGAGGAAGAGGAGAAGGAGGAAGAGAAGAAGGTGAAGGAAGAAGAGGAGGAGGAAGAGAAGAAGGCGAAGGAAGAGGAGGAGGAGGAAGAGGAGGAAGAGGAGGAGGAGGAAGAGAAGAAGGCGAAGAAAGAGGAGAAGAAGGAAGAGAAGAAGGCACAGGAAGAGGAGGAGGAGGAAGAGAAGAAGGCGAAGGAAGAGGAGGACCAGTTATTGCCCAGTTCCCAAGACGACCTACAGTATATCTTTCCTCCTGTGATAAGTTCTGTAAATACAAGAATTTCCTTCGCTATATTTCGGCAAGATTCGGCTCTCGGGGGAGGGAAGAGGAGAGGGAGGAGAAGAGAGGGGCAAGTAGGGGGAGAGGGAGGAGAGGGGCGAGTAGCGGGAGAGGGAGGAGAGGAGGGTGTGTGTGTGTGTCTTTGAGGTCGGATAATGTGTGTGTATTGTGTGTCTCTATTGGCACCATCAACCACCCGACACTGATATGCAAATGTCGACAAGGCCAACATTTGAATACAGTCTCAGTCTTGATCCTGGTTCTGTTCTCTCTCTCTCTCTCTCTCTCTCTCTCTCTCTCTCTCTCTCTCTCTCTCTCTCATTTACTCTCTCAACCAAACACCAACGTTGTTTTCCTTGGTTGTATACGTACTGTGTGTGTGTGTGTGTGTGTGCAGGTAACCAAAATTCAATACACAAGGCAGAACACGAACCAGTAGTCTCCGTTCCTAGACTCCTCCTAGTAAACACAGAAGGCTACTTCGCGGGGTGAACATAGACTACAGTGTGAGGGTGAAAAATTCGGCTTTTTATTCTTTTCGTAAACACCAATATTTGTTTACCTCGGCACAGATATAAGAAAAAATACTCTACTGTTTCTATTTTACGAATTCCAAAAAAAAAAAAGAAAAAAGAAGGTGTCCTGCCAAAGCGAGCTTACAAAATCTCTCTTGTCTCCCGTGAGGAAAATTTGACGTGAAAAATACATCCCCTCTACCCCCCTCGCCTCCCACATACACACAAAATAATCTTTGGAAAAAAATCATTGACTAGTTAGTATCGTCTCATGTTTGAGTCAGCTGTAAAGTTACTATTAAATTTGTGATAATGAAAGAAGGACTGGTAGAATACTGCTATACGTTTTATAACACTATTGAGTTAAATTTGTGTAATAAAATTCAAGAGTACTCTATTTGAGAATTTTAAATGTTGTTATTCCCTGTACCTGTAACAATAAATAATTTCCGGTTTGTTTTTTTAAAGCGAACAGCTCCAATATTGCCCAAACTTTCGACAAACCTTACCTCGGGCAGCCTTGTGGTTGTGTGTGTGTGTGTGTGTGTGTGTGTGTGTGCATTCGACGTCCAACCATTTCCTTTTATTACTGTTGTCCATCGTGTCTCTTACTGTTTATTTATTGTAAACACTGGACCATTACCTCCTTGAGTTTTACCCTCGTGTGTTAAAGTATTGGAACATCAGTGGAATAACTTGTGATGAGGATATATTATTTTGTTGGTGACGAGCTCTTCCACCCTCGGTATGTCAACAAACCAGCTGCTACTTGGCCATCAGCAGCTGTAACGTCACGTGCATGGACATACATACATACATACATACATACATACATACATACATACATACATACATACATATTTACTTATCCTTCTCTCCCTGCACGCATCAACCTTCCTTCCTCCTTACGACTAAAAATACTTAATGTCTCACTATCAAGACAAATGTTTCGTCCACACTTCGTTCTCCCTTCCCAATTAACACTTGAGTTCCCCCTTCCTGATGATCACTTTGTCTCCTTGGTTATGGTGCAGGTGTCAGCGGTGGATGGCGACGTAAGTGACCAGGGTCGACTCCTCTACACTCTGACAGGGGATGGAGTGGCTACTACTAATAGCAGCTTCTCCGTCAGTCGTTCTTCAGGTCATCTTCATCTTCTTCGGGTGAGTCCTCGTGGCTTCTCTCTCTCTCTCTCTCTCTGTTCATGTGTTATAATCTGGTTGTCTTATTGTCTGTCTGAGTTTATATTTATTGCTTACGTGTTTGTGTATCCGTTTGTCTTATTTACAGAGAAACAGACAGACAGACAGAGAGATACCTAGGTTGAGAGAGCAAATAGATAGATAGATAGATAGATAGATAGGTAGATAGATAGGGAGTAACTTCTCAAAACAAACTTTAACTCGGAAGGAAAGAACATCAGTCTTCATAAAGATATAAACAAAAATATCTTCTCAAACCTTTAACATCGACAAATATTTTCCAAGACTAACCATGATAAAAAAAAATAATTATACGTCAAACTCACAATAGATTCATGATTTAGAATAATTTATTAAAGGTGTAAGGTCAAAAAATGCTTCTCTTAAAAGTGATTCATTTTTCCCTTTCCTAAGTAAGATTCTTGAGAAGTCTTCAGAAGTCGGGTGAGTGGCGGCTGGCTGGTTGGGTTCATCTCACACTTTTGCATCATATCTTCGAGGTGTTAAAAGTTTCTCAGGCAATATTAGAATTCTTGAGGGAGCTGAGTGTACCAACTTGTTTGTCAGCTTTTATCATCATGTGTTCAGTAGTTCGTAAGGGGTGGCGGCAAGTCCCAATATTATCTCAAAACTTCGTCAAAGTTTATATAACCAGCACTGATATATACACTTAGGGTAAACTTAAATACACATTATATTCACTTCAAATCTTCAAAACTATTCCCTTAGAGTTATTTTAGGGACTTATACAAACAGACAGACAAGCAGACATGATCGAAAACAATATCCTACCCGATAGTTATAGAGAGGGGAATAATTTTCACTCCACTATATACTGGTAATATAATAGTTAACACAATTTCAGGGAACTAACACCGGAGTTAATGATTTTAGTCCGGGTGAATTCTTGATTTCTCTGACAGCATTGTGGTGTTGAGGAAGAGAGAGACAGAAAGAATATAACACAGTATAACAGTGACCTGGTTTAGCCCCTCTCTGGGCCATGACCTCCTGACCTGCTCTGACCGATGCTAATACAGTGAAGCCTCCATATAACGGACTTCTCTCTCCAATTAATCCGCTAAATGGGGGGATTTTACATCTAATGGTCCCTCGACATAACGGATTTTCATCTCTATATAGTTCGCTAGATTGGGGTTTCACATCTAACGGACCATTGATATAACGGAATTTCCTCTCCATATAGTCCGTTAAATAGAGGCTTCACTGTATGTGATTGTCAGCGTTTACTTATAAGTGTTGAACAGATCAACTTTAGGAGCACACACAAAATTAATGTTGTGAAGTAAACGCCTACTGATCCAGCTTAACATTATGTTGCCGCCCACGTAGTTATAATGGTCATTTTCACCCAGGATTTAGTTTGATAAAATTTTGTAGTTTTTTGTGTTTTTGCAATTTAATGGACACACACACACACACACACACACACACACACACACTAATTGTAGAGGTTTCCACCTGCGGAATCGCAAATAAATTTCTTCAGTGAAAACCAACTCAAGAATTTGTGTTTTTCTACCTGACCTAAACACTACCTTACTTTATTTTCTAGTCAACATTTTATTTCTGCCTCAATGTTTAGGCTGCCACCCCCATCCCCGATGGATAGTTAGTATAAGATGTAACACAAACACTAAACAGCATAATAACACTAAGTTTAATACAACACTGAACACTACAACACCACAAAGTTTAGTAAAGACCAGAACAGTAAACAGTGTCAACACCCTGCACACACCCGCCTCCCCCACACCCAGACGAGACGGCAACAAACGTAAATATTGAACACCATTGTCAAAACACAACAGTCCATTCCAGTAGACAAAGATTTATTTACTTAAAGCCACAATACTGAAGAAATTCCCCTTAAATACACACAGATAAACATTTAATAGGCGTTATTCCTACCATGATTGTCCTGCACATTTGAGCTAAAAACAACAGAAATAGCCACAGTCAAACCAACTCATTCTGGGTGAAAGAAAAATATCATGTTACTCGTTCGCTGGTGAGCTGCAGTGTCGACAGATTTTATTTATTTGCTACGACAACTTTGGGTCTGTCAGGCAGGAAGCTTCTCTAGTTTCCTGTCCAATCCGATTGTGGACAGATGATGCACATGGTCATGATTCATGCTTTATCTGCGCGTTAATCTTCCACATTAGCTCCGGACCTCCCGGATGCACATGGGATGGTGTTATGTGTGTGTGTTGGTCGGTACAGAGCTTGATGTTTCCAATACCGTATTAGGGATCTCTCTCTCCCCTGATTTGATATATCTGTCGTCAGATTCTATTGTGTGGTACAGCGGTGTGCGATAATCTGTATGTGTGTGTGTGTGTGTGTGTGTGCAGAAAGCAGACTGGTGTAGGTAAGTTGTGTGTGAATGTTGTCTCTTGAGAGTGTATTATGTGTGTGTGTGTGTGTGTGTGTGTGTGTGTGTGTGTGTGTGTGTGTGTCAAGAACGTAAGGTTTAAACACAATAATTTCACCCAAACACGTTCTTCAACACTGGCCAACACCGTCACCATCCCCTCCTTTACAGCCGCTGGACAGAGATCAGCCAACAGGAAGGGCGTGTTGGGAACTGAATATCTCGGCCACTGACGGCATCCACACCGCCTCTACCATAGTCAATGTAAACGTGAAGGACATCAACGACAACGCTCCCTTCTTTGCCAACCTCACCATCAACGCTACTGTCCCTGAGAATGGTAGAGAAGGTAGGTAACAAATAGATTACCTGAAGATTAGTCCCCTAGCTTATTTCACCTGAAGATTAGTCCCCACAACCTGAAGATTAGTCCCCTAGCTTATTTCACCTGAAGATTAGTCCCCACAACCTGAAGATTAGCCCCCTAGCTTATTTCACCTGAAGATTAGTCCCCACAACCTGAAGATTAGTCCCCTAGCTTATTTCACCTGAAGATTAGTCCCCACAACCTGAAGATTAGTCCCCTAGCTTATTTCACCTGAAGATTAACCACCCAAACGCTAACCTAACCTAACCTACCAGGTAGCGTCACGGCGGTCGCCTACGTTTTCGAGACCAGCCACTGTTAGCGCCCGGACCATACTGTACGTGTGTGTGCTGGTTGACTTTATTTGCTGTGATGGACTCTTTGTCTTGTGATTACTCACCAGACCTTTTGAGGATTTCCAATCCCTTAGCGAAGTATAACGTGCATCCTATGCAAGGAATATCCATTAAAGAAATATAACTCGAAGATGCCCTGTTTTGGTTACTCGTTCTGGCGTAAGGTGGCGCCACCATCTGCCTTGTTTACAGTAGAACCTTCAGAATAATTTTCGCTTTTATATTTTGGAAGTGGAACTCAGTTTTGTGAAAAAAGAAACAGATTCTTAAGACCAGACAAGTTCGCCATCTTAAATTTAACTACGTAGTTATAGCGTTCTGTGTGGGCTGTTCATCGTCTCGTAACTTATGTGTGTTTGTGGAGGATGAAGACCGCCCGCCTCCAAGAGTTATGTCAACATGGACCAGTTGGCAGGACGGGCACCAGGTGATCAAAATACGGCAGAAAAATGACAGTGAGGAAGAAATATGTTTCAGTGCAAGAAGTGATAAACGTTAAAGTACACAATGCCGCTTCAAGAAAATTGCACTCATTGGTACCAGATATCAAAGTAAGTTCTTTCTGTTTAATACTCTGGTTAGGTCAGGTTCTGTGCATTGCCGTTACCATTTCGTATTAAGTACAGGGGCGTATCCAGGGGTTGCCCTGGGGGTCCGGACCCCCCTTTTCATTAGAAAATTCCAATACTTTTTATTTAATGCAGTATTGTACTCAGGCGTTTATGTATAGTAAAAAGTAATTACTATTGACCTCGAATTATCTCTTAATATCAAGTGCACATGGCCTCAAAATGCCCATGATATTGGTCAGATTTCAATTTGGGTAAAATTTTACTTTCACACAACCATGGAATCTTAGGAGTTTTATCTTTACAACCAATAGTTTAAACAACTCTAAGACACTTTTCTTGTATGTCGTTTCACTCGCAAATGACTTATATATTCCGGGAGTTGAGGTTAGGTTAGTTCATATTAGGTCATTTGCAAGGGAAACGTCATAGAAGAAAAGTGTCTTAGAGTTGTTTAAACTATTGGTTGTAAAGATAAAACTCCTAAGATTCCATGGTTGTGTGAAAGTAAAATTTTTCCCAATTTTTTCCTGGGGGGCATACAGCTCACCTCCCAGCTGGGTGGTCTCGCTGTGTTCGCCATGTTCCCCACCCACAACTTCTTGGACCCCCCTTTTGATATTCCTGGATCCGCCCCTGAAGTATCATGCAAATTAATATCTATCGGCTCTTTTTTTTTATTCAATTCCATAAGTTGTTTCTGGTACTAACTAAATATTGTAAGAACAAATCGTGTAGTTGAAATAATTGTAGTACTGTATATTTTCAAACTATATAAAACATAACATTGTCGCTCGGGGACATTCACGAATAATTTACAATTTTATAATCTGACGTCAAAGTCAATAGCTATACATTAACTGTTACTCGGAAATAAGTATCGAACTAAAAATGGGATCAGGATACAGATGCAGCAGTCATATGCGAAACGTTGATGTCTATTGGTTAAGCGGCCATTATATTACGCACGCGTGGTGGGCAGACTATACAATGATAGTTACTAATATGACCTAACTTAACCATTAACAACACAGTCAACCATTACTGCAGTACCTGGATCCACTACTTAAGCAAAATATGAGTTGAAATAACATCCATACTCACCACGTTTATATATCTTTACTAAATAAATAAACATATTTCCCATATTCACCGCCTCGTTAACCGCCTGGGCTGTCTGGCACTGTTGGCATGCACTGGCTCCAGAATGTATCTGTACCTGCGTCAGTGTTGGAGGAGTGTGGTCTTGAATGAGCTCGCATTGTGCCGTCACAACACTGGCAGATTGCTTCAAGAGTTCTTGGCTCTCTCCAAAAAGTTTGCCTTGGCAGTTTTCTGAACTTGTCGCTTCTCTAACCTTAGGTTGTAACAGGGGCGGATCCAGGAATATCAAAAGGGGGTGCAAGAGGTTGTGGGTAGGGGAACCTGGTGAGCACAGCGAACAAACCCAGCTGGGGGGGGGGGGTCTGTAAGCCCTCCAATATTGTTTTTGTTTTTAATCTAACCAATATCATGGACATTTTGGGGCCATTTTGAAGCCATGTGCACTTGATATCGCGAGATATTCTGGGATCAATAGTAATTAATCGTAACTATGCATAAACTCCTGAGTAAAATACTTCATTAAAGAAAAAATATTGTAATTTTCTATTTTAATACCAAGGAATAAACTGTAAAACATTAAAATCTCGCTCAATAAACAGTAATAGTTTGCCCTCATTTTGTAGTCGTTTTCTTTGGAAAGTTGGTCCTTCTGCCATCAGGTGGCGCTAGGGTCTCGCTGTGGCAACTCATTACAAATAATGATTTCAAAGGAGAGTTATACTTCCTTACTGGATATTCCTTGATCCGAGGTTTACAAGGCACTTTAACTGAAGTAACTTAATATAATAATTTGAGCAACATCACGAGTTAGTATGTGGAGAACATGGTGATTGTTGGGGAGTTAGTCTTGTCTTTTATTGGCCAAAGACTTACTAACTTATGGAATGTTGTATTAGATATATTTCTTTCGCTGCCATAATTTGTGACTTGTTTAATGTCAGGTATATGTAACACTGTTCCGATAATTTACGATGGTTACTGATATTTGTGTTTGTTGTTTTAAAAATGCCTTGATTTTACTATAGTTTGTCAATAGTTAAATTGTACCTTCGTTTTTAACGGCTGTACGCATTACCAGACACTTGTCAACCACCTTAATTGTGTTCCTATTTTGAAGTTGTAATTATTGTTTTTAAGTAAAAGTAATGAAAGGGTTAATGAAGAAAGTTACATAGAAATTTGCATAGTTATAAGTTTTAATCAAAGGTAAGAGTAAGTTGGTTACTACAGGTAGAAGACGAAAGCTCGCTGGTGTAAGGAGGAATTTCTCAGTGTTCCAATAAACTGAATAATAATAACTTGTGACCATGACGTGTGGCATCTTGGCAGGGTCGGAGGTGACAACAGTGGTGGCAACAGACTACGACGACCCCCTTGAGAGCACCAACGCCATCCTCACTTACTCCGTGGAGAAGAACGTTATTGATGAACACACCGGCCAGCCTATCTTCACCATTGATGCTCACACTGGCAGGTGATTAGAAAATTTATCCATTGGTAAAATTAAGAAAACAAAGGACATAGATTTTATCCATGCAAAGAAAAAACAAGTTTGCTGTATAGGAATCAAAGTTCTAATTGAAATAGTCAGGACGGAGGATAAAGCAGGAATATTAACCTCCTTGTGTTATCAATAGTAACGTTATAATCTTCTTTATATAGTTTGTTTGTAGTTTTATATAACCGGTTTTTAGCTTAATTCTGAACGTCTCCCTTTACCTTACTGTTACTTACCTTTTACCTACCCCTTCAACCCCCTTCATCCACCCTTCCCTGCTCTCTCTATCGTATTATCCACCTCATCCACCACTCTTCCCCTCCTCCACCACTCTTCCTCCTCCTCACAGGATTAAGACAGCGTTGTGTTGCCTGGACCGAGAGAGGACGCCCTTCTACGCTATCCAGGTGGTGGCGTCTGACGGTGGAGGCCTCAAGGGTGAGTACCTGCTGCCCTCAATGTTTTGGTTACCCTTCAGGAAGTACTCACAGGTGTAACTCTTAAATTAGCCATTCTAACAGGTGTGATTCATGATGCTGTTACTTCATGTATTAATGCTTACAGTGACACCTCTATCTAACGGAGTGTATGGAGAGGAAAGTCCATTAAATCAAGGGGCTGTTAAATGGGAAACTTACATCTAACGAACTATGTAGATTAAAGTCCGTCATGTCGAGGTGTCTGTTAGTTATCAAACCCTCCATTTAACGGAATACATGGAGAGAGAAGTCCGTTATAGGGAGATTTCACTGTACCTGTATTACCGGGAGTGAGTGTGATGAACAGATGGCCACTCAGCATTTACACCGAACGAATGGAGAGAAAATAAAGAGCAATATTGTTGGTTGAGTGTGTGGCTGTGTAGGTGTTTCCATAGACTCAGAGACTACACACAGACGCATTATCACACCATACATACATACTGACCAGAGTCAATGCACCAGCCGAGGCAGATCTTAATATAAAGGATCCCCCTCCCCCCGGGCAGGTACAGGGACGGTGCTGGTGACGGTGAGCGACAAGAACGATGTGTCACCAAAGTTCTCCAGACCAGAGTGGCTACTGACGGTGCACGAGTCTGTCCCCCTCAACACCACGCTCGCCTTCCTCGCCGTCGACGACCCCGATGTGACAAACAACTTCGTCTTTCGGGTAAGTTAGATCGCTTACTGGCGCAGTGTAGCTCTTGACTTTAGTTCAGTTCCCTCGTAATATCCACCACCCGATGTCCAGTCATTTGCATACGTGTTGATTCCTACTTGCACACACACACACACACACACACACACACACACACACTAATGTAAACAACCTTGTCTCCAGATTATGGCAGACAGTGGGTATGGATGGGAGAGGTTCCGTCTGGTCAGCTCTGATCACGGAAGCGGTGCTCTCCAGGCCATTAAGAAACTCGACTACGAAGACCCCGTCCAGCGCCAGGGGTTCAGGTTCAAGGTCCAAGTCTCTGATAAGGTAACATTCTCAGGGGAAGGATGATGTTGACTCGAATAGTTTCATAAAAAAAAAAAAGTTTGAGAAACACCTTACTAGGTTTTTAATAATTCATTACCCCGATGATCATGTGCACTACCTGGTCACAAGACTACACATGTTAAAATAATAATAATGTTTCTACTGCAGGAGGCGGGGCGGTGGGAGGACGAGGAACACATGGACTCGACCTGGGTGGTGGTGGCCCTGGTGGACGATAACGACAACGTCCCCGACCTGTCCACCCACAGAGTTAATCTCACCTTGTCTGAGGACACACCTGTGGGACACTCCCTCGCTACCTTCACCGCCACTGATAAGGACCAGGTAATTACTTCAACATTGCTAAATTGACAAAAATTGCAGATTATATCATACAGTAGATAGTATAAACGTTATCTACTCTTAAACACTGACCAACAAAGTCCATCAGATACATAAAGTATATATTGGTAAAACTTTAATATGTATTTCATTAATCAACAAAACCTACGACTCTTCCCTCAGGATGTTTTGTATTATCCCATAATATATCCCGGCCATAAGAGTATCCTGGTATCATCCTGGATAACAGAATCAACAAACCGTTCCAATAGTTTTATCCTCAATGTTCGTGTAATATTTAATGCCAGAAATACCATTCAGAACTCGACCCATCTCGGGTATGTGTGTTGGTTTTAATGTACTGCTAAACTTAAACAACTAAAGTCTTTAGGCTCGTACACTACAATATTCCAGGTTAGTAAATACATTACTCAATCACCAATCAAAAAATTAAGTTACAGCTCTGGTTATAATGAGGGCTATAGGGGTTACATCGACTAAACTAAACACCATTTCTTTTCCCGTATAAACAAGCACTGTAGCCCCCTAGCTGACCACCCAGTGTGAGGTGTTGGTTGTGGACAGAGGCAGATAAGGCACGGAGAAGCTAAGAAGCGTATCCATTATTCAACGGCCGACATAAGAGTCTCACTGTGTTGATTGATTAATTGCAGTTTCATGTTATAAATATGTATGTCATTGAAATCCATTAGTTTATTTCAATGGTAATGTTGAAAGTATTATTAGTTTTAGAATTCATGTAGTCGGCAATCGCGAGGTATTAATTTATTAAACGATGTACAACGGTTTATGAAAGAGGACATGAACCATCTTAACCTAACCTAACCAAACTATATTAGAATACCTTTTAGTAAAGTAAGATAAGGTGAAGTAAGTTTGGTTAGCTCATTTTCCCTTTTTAAAGTAAGTGGACGTGGTGTTACTCGGGAAGAAAGTCAGGGAAAGTAGGAGGTATTCTCGAGGCAAGGAACAACTTCTCTTGTAAACAAAACTCGTAAAATATCTTGTTTAGGTGCGTAAAAATAGTGAAGTGTTACATCTACATTCTATTGTCGTTATTCTTCTTTTGTTCTTTATTGTTTATGATGACGGAATAAGGAGTTTCCGAAACGTTAGTATGGAAGATGTTCCCCCAACGACTCTGGGGAACATAGGTATTGTATATTTATACAGTACACGTATACAGTATACTGTATACATAAAACAGGTAGTCATACTGAGAGACATTTACTGACAACAGCTACACATTATCCTGTATCCTCTCTTAGGGCGGGGAAGATGAAGTGCGCTACACCATCGACCCCAGCAGCGATCCCTTCAGACTCTTCGCTGTGGACTCAGTGGGTCGTGTACATCTCCGCCGCCAACTAGACCGTGAGGCAGCAGAGCGTCACGTGGTCCGTGTGTTGGCAGTGGACAGTGGCGCCCCGGCCCTCACAGCGACTGCCACCATCCTCCTCACAGTGACGGACGTGAACGATAACGCCCCCAACGTGGCCAACCCCGACACCCTGTACGTCCTGGAGAACAGTGGGCCGCGACACGTGGGCGACCTAAAGCTGGACGACGCTGACGACTGGTCCTTGGGCCATGGCCCGCCATTTACTGTGCAGCTGGCAGACGACGCCCCCACACACATAAAGGAGAACTTCGCTGTCGACTTCGACGAAAGTAAGTGTTCTAGAATATTAATGAGACATTATATGTAGAGACGTTAAATGGGGAAACTCCTCCAGCACTCGACGGAGGTTTTGAAAATCTTAAATACTTTAAAATACTAAAGAGCACAAATTATTTGAGGGAAGTCCGTCATTGAATCTCCTTCAAAACAATAATGTTCAGAATGTACTAAGTTAGTACAAGGAAGAATTATTGTAATAATAGCTGGTCAGAGTGGCCCATTACTTCGTCTTGTAGTCCTTTGTAATGTGATGAGTCTCGCCTGCTGCCTTGCCTCAGGCTGCTTAAGGAACAGTTATAAAGGATAACCTGAAATTGCACAGTGTATGTGGATAATAGAGCCCACTGTATTGTTTCTGAAGCTACACGTATAGTTGATACCTGACGTCAGCTGCTGAGGAACGTGTCCTGGTATAGTGTCCCGTACCTGGAAGAGCACAAGAACAATTTAGGTGATTATGAGACACCCTGTACAGACGGATTTAAATACACGAGAAAATATATTGAAATTATCACTCGCAATCTAATATATTATTGGAATATTACATCCAAAACGCACGACACAATGTTGCTCACAAAGATTAAGGTACATGTAATATTTCCTAATAGTACAGGAACTTACTGATACACTTCCATCACAAAACATTATTAAATATAAAGCCAGTGATGAGATGATTGTCGCTGTCTGACGTCACATTACTATTCAGATGACGCTACACACACCAGCCTTCCTTTGATGCACCAATTAAAACTTTTATCACAAATTTTGACCCGAATTTAGCGTGAAGCTCATTGGCTACATGACATAGGAATTGTTCAGTGCACGAAGGATTAAACCCGTTTTTCATTACTTTGCTCTACCGGGAAGTTGCGTCATTTTCATTTGTCTAGAGTGTAACTCTGTCAGAGATAATTAAATTTCATTTGGATGTTTCACAATGGTAACCAAACATTGAATATTAACGGGTTTACTCTTTACCCGAAGATTGATAAACTTTCATTTGATTCCCGTTTACATTCGAAAACAAACTTCCCATACCACATGGCGCCTCGATTATGGCAACCAGTATGCAACAACAGCGGCGTATCTCATAGAATAAAAAAGTGAAAGGTTAGGTTAGGTTGACAAAATAAGGGAATTCCTGCAGCTATCCCTCTAAAGTAGTATATCGTCCCTAACAGTTCCGCCATGTTTGTTATGGTGTGAGGTTGGAGGTGGACCTACGCGAGGTGTGTACAGTATGATGCTCTGTTTTTGGAGACGGAGCAAATCTGACCAGAGGCTGGTGGAAAATGCACGAGTATAATGGCCCCTTAATACATCAGATGAAGAGCTGGATATATGGTCGTAATCTTCACCCTAAACTATGCTCAGTAAACTGAGTGAGATATATGCCAGGCGTCTTTTGGAATAATTGTCCAATTAAACTTTAAAATTGCACCATAACTTTTATAATTACTATAATGCCATGACTATTAGTACATGTGATGATCATGGTTAAAGTATTTCATTTAAGACGTCTTTCGTTATCTTCACCAAACTTTACCCAAATTACGTTAGTATTCACGTTATTCAGTTATATTTTCAGGTTGATTTTTTACGTGACTTCTCCTTTATGTACAATCAGGGCCAAATGTTCGCTCCCCGTATTGAATCCGAGTCAGGGGAATGAGTCTCCGAACTGACTTACCCTGACTGTTCCATCTCATTTGGGGTCGATGCTGCTTCATTTTGGGCGGGAGTGAACTTTTGACCCCGATAGTAAAACACACCACCTTCAAATTTACTAAAAGGAATCAAATGTATTGTAATTATCCCTAAGGCACATTACACACCCTCAAGCTGTTTATAAATCATATTACTTGCTGTAGATGAACGACCCAGGGAAATACCAGTGTTAGAGCCTCGTCCTGACCCCAGAAGCATTTAATGTTGTTTATACAACACACATACTTCATGTAGATCCACAATGGAAACTCGGATAAGATAAATCTTGATAAAATCACACAAGAAAAAGGGGAAACAATGGAGCACCTTAGCTTTCGTTTTTATTCAAGACATCTTCAGAGGCAACTGAATAAAGGCGAAAGCTGAGGTGCTTCATTGTTTCCCCTTTTTCTTGTGTGATTTTATCAACATACATACATACATACATATATACATACTGTACATACATACATACTGTACATACATACATACTGTACATACATACATACTGTACATACATACATACATACATACATACATACATACTGTACATACATACTGTACATACATACTGTACTGTACATACATACATACATGTACATACATACATACATACATACATACATACATACATTACATACATACTGTACATACATACTGTACATACATACATACATACATACTGTACATACATAGATACATACATTACATACATACTGTACATACTTACTGTACATACATAGATACATACATACATACATACATACATACATACATACATACATACATACATACATACAACGCCCACGGACATATAAAAGATCTAGAGCCGCCAACAGAATGACCGACTCTGCGACCGAGACCAAAATCGAATGAGTTCATCAACTGTATAAAAGAACAAGTGAATGAAGTGGTTGCAGTGCGCCCGATTGAACTTCAATTATGGTGCGGACACCAGTTGTCTGGTGGCTGGCGGACAGACAGCACCGTGGCTACACGCCCTCACCTCACCCATCATTTTAGGGGAATAAAGGGCATACTGTGTCCCCTCCGTGACGTGTTTTTATATATGTAGAACATGAGTATTAATATATTTACTGTGTTGATGAATGGTTCACTGGTAGTAAGTACTTGATATTCAATTCCACAGTGAAATTGATATCTTTTATGGTGAAGGGAGACAGAACAATTACATTAAAACAGAAATTCTATTATAGATGGCACCACGCGTCAGTTGTTGTAAAGGTTTTGTTACGAGCGACGATTAATAATTTCCAATATATGTACAGTAAATTGGCCTCTTTGATGCAGAGTGTGTGTGTGTGTGTGTGTGTGTGTGTGTGTGTGTGTGTGTGTGTGTGTGTGTGTCGTCAACACGGCCACACATTATACAAGTGATTACAGCAAATTTTTGTCATCACGGTAATTGTATATCAAAATTGCAGTATAGTTCGCCTCTCAAATTACTACATACACACACACACACACACACACACACACATATATATATATATATATATATATATATATATATATATATATATATATATATATATATATATATATATATATATATATATATATATATATATATATATATGTGTGTGTGTGTGTGTGTGCGGTAGGTGTTATGTGCAGGCGTCCAGACGACGCTGCGCTATGTGATGGCTTGCTAAAGGTATCAGTTTGTTTTAATTGACACGCCTGTATGTTCAGACATGAGTACCTTAGGTGGCGTTCCCTTGTTCATCGTAAGATCATTTCCTCAGTACAAGTCTGTTGCTGGTATTCACACGCACGAATATCAGCAATAGATTTATCGGCACTTTATAGTGTGTGTGTAGACACATCGTCTCAGGTCATTGTTCACTAAAATGATTGTTTCCTGACAGTACAGTACAGTACAGTACAGTACAGTACAGTCTCTTGTGCTGATTCTCCTTCACCTACATGTATTGTAGCTTCTGTGGTATGTTTAAACTGACCTGATTGTTTTGAAATAAATGTTTACTTTGTAACTCTAGTGACCGTATCACTATTATTTATCAGACTAATAAGAAAGGAAGCTATACAACGGTGCATAACATAAACAAAAACACATCTGTGAACGGTAATTGTCTCCGACCAAGGCCTCACTTGCCAGCACGCCACGTTTTCCCCATTAAAGTAGCTTTTAACCCAAAACTTGATCAGTCCTGTTGACAATATATTTCTGTGAACGATGAGCCTATTATAACCTTCACCTATATCACTCACTAGAGGGGGACGAGGGTCGCGGGGTGGCAGTGGTGACGTCACTCGGACCTCTGGATAGGGAGGTGTCGGTGACTCGGCTGCTGCCCCTCGTGCTGGGTGACGCTCACAGCCTCGTCACCACCGCCACCATCACCATCACCATCGCTGACCTTAATGACAACCCCATGAAGCCCGCCAACAAGACCGTCACCATCACCAGGTTCAGGGTATGTGTCTGTGTTTCTGGCTAAGACTTATGACTATTTGAAGAGTATGTTCGTCTGTTCTTCCGACCATTAAAACACTTACTTAGGATCAAGTTAAGGACCCGTGTCTGTTTACATTTGTCCCTCTAGCATGAGAAACATTCCGTGTGATTCTCTTTACATGTTAGTCTAGCAGTTTAAATATTAGTGATATACGTGATAATAATACCCAGGGTGAGGTCCTCGCCTACAAGTTGCATCCCTCCCCATTCCTTCCCTTGTCCTCACACCCAACCATTAGCTCGTAACCCTTTATTGCACACTAATCATCTCCCTCCAATTAGCCAGGAACTCGGTATTTCTCTCCTGTCCCTGATACTCCTCTCCCACCCTCCCATATCATCCTACATCACCCTCTGCCCCTCCCGTATCCTCCTCGACCTCCTCTCCCTCCCTCCCATATCATCCTACACCACCCTCTGCCCCTCCCATATCCTCCTCGACCTCCTCTCCCTCCCTCCCATATCATCCTACACCACCCTCTGCCCCTCCTATCCTCCTCGGCCTCCTCTCCCTCCTCCTCCCATATCATACACCACCTGCCTCCGCCTCCTGTTTCCTCTCCCACCCTCCCATATCATCCTACATCACCCTCTGCCCCTCCCATATCCTCCTCGACCTCCTCTCCCTCCCTCCCATATCATCCTACACCACCCTCTGTCCCTCCCGTATCCTCCTCGACCTCCTCTCCCTCCCTCCCATATCATCCTACACCACCCTCTGCCCCTCCCATATCCTCCTCGACCTCCTCTCCTCTCCCTCCCTCCCTCCATCTCTCCCTACCCTCTGCCTCTTATCCTCCCTCAACCCTTTCCTCTCCCTCCCTCCATATCATCCCTACCACCTCTGCCCCTCCCTTGTCCTCCTCCCACACCTACTTTCACCTCCTCCCATCTCACCTCACGCCCCTGAAGTTGAAAATAAAAGTCTTTAGTTTTAGTTTTAATGAGTTTGTAACTAATCGTGTGCTGACCCACATCTTATGGCACTCAAGTACATCGTTTTGCGAACGAGGCAGTCAAGGTGATTTTTTAAATATTTACTTAAGTGGTTGACGTCGAGGTAATACTAATGATCCATTAATGGGGTTGATTTAACACCTTAACGCTATTTGAGTTAGGTTAGACTAGGTTAAAGTTTTATCACCTTGGGTTAGGTTAGGGTGATTAATTTTCAGGTGAAATAAACTGGTGGGTCTAATCTTCAGGTGATCCAGTCATTTAAGGAGACAAATTAATCTTACAAAGTTACATACAGTCGTGAATGTATTTTATTTCCTATTGATAGACTTGTAACATTGTTCAAGGACTAACCTTCCTCTTCTCATCATCTCAGCAGGCAGAGACATCTATATTTTCCCCGCAGCAACTGAACATTCCTTTGTACGTCTCCTCCTGCATCTCTCTGCTTCCCCATTACTTTATCATCTGGTTCTTATTTGTGTTATATTTATGATATATGTGAGATAACGTAATAACACAGGAATTAGACACCCCAGCTTATTTCACCTGAAGATTAGACACCCCAGCTTATTTCACCTGAAGATTAGACCCCCAGTTTCTATCATCCTTCATCTCCCCTCTAACCCAATTAGAAAATAAGCAGACTTCACCAGAGTAATTAACCTAATATAGAAAACCCTTAAATATGTTTTATTTTTATATAATTTTAATGTACAATATTCTATAGAAGAATATACGCTTTATTATTAATCTGGTATAACAATTTCCTCCAATATTTTGTATGTAATTTCAATTTAAACTGTCAATAACAATGATATATTCTTCATTAATATTATAGATCTATTAATGAATGGTGAAACTCGACAGTGTACAGATGTGATGTGATGTGACAGTGTACAGATGTGATGTATTAATATTTTCGTAACTTAAATAAATTTGATATTGATGATACTGTACTTGTTAGGATACATGGATATATGCTTCATCCTTCTCAGGCCAATTCTTCTCTTCTTTAAACCCCTCATTTATCATGGTATTAAAAAAATGTATATATTTCATGCACATAATACTGCAGTCATATTTTATCAACTCTTATTTAAAAACTCCTACGGCAATGAGTCTACCTGCCACGACCCATAATATATATCTCCGTGGTTAGTATCTCACCTGTAATAAATAACTTCTCCTGCACACGTAGCCCAGGTAACCTTCCACAAATATTTAGGTACTTTTGAAAGGTGTGCTGTAGCCAGTACTGTACCTTCCTTCACGGAGAAATTGTGTTATGTATTGTACAGTATAAATCTTGCAGTGATGATGATAGATTTATTCTCTCTCTCTAATCAATAATTCCTGAATATCTTATAAGTTCAACATGTTATCACCTTACCCACCCTCCTCCCTCAGCCTAACTAGACATTATGAAAGTCTCTCCCTGTACAACTCCCCATTCATTTGGCTTTACACTGAAACATCTTGCCCACTTCTTCATCTCGCCCCCAAGAGTTTTATGACACAGCTATAAACCTGAGCTGCACCGATAAGAGAGTTTATTTGATTTCTGTTAAAGCCTCAACTACAAAGTGCAATTTAAACTTCCCATAACTCTGTGTGTGTGTGAGACCGGACAAGTTTTGGCCTTAAGTGGGGTAGCTGCTATAATAATGGGTTTCTTTTTTTTTTGCTGCTACTCGTCACTTCCTATGGGACGGATAAAGGCTTGATAATAATTCCTTGCACTAGGCCGTTAAAACACGTCGTCTTAACACAATTTACACTACGCATAAAGATAGATGAAGCTTTCAACATATACTCCAGACATCTTATATGCTTCAGCTCTCAGCAGGTATACATTACTTATGGCTACTCATACAGGTTATCTCTTAAATTTACAGTTTAAAATATTATTTCTGGAATTTTAAGAGAAAATGGATGGTATCTCGCTAGGGAAAACCTGTCTCTCTGGGTAACTCATTAGTTTCACTCGTGTTTTGTGGACAGTGGAGCATAATATGAATAAGTCGTGTTGAGATGAACACTAGCCGTGTAACCATGTACTGCGCACATTATTGTCATTCCTAAAAACCCCATTTAATTCATATTACGCTATATAACATTCAAATCCACCGCGCATGTAGAATCTCAGAAAACGGGAAACACTGTTAAAGGATAACTCACCTACTCAATGTTACTAGACCATGTGTTGTATTGTACCCAGGTACAGTTATATCATATTAATTGTATGTATTCATAGCATTAAGGAGAACTCAAGGTATCCATAAGATGAATGTTAAAGTCCAGTTGAGCCGGACTAGTGTACTGTAGAACTAAGTGTGGATCAGGGTTTGAAGGTCATACTATTTACGTCTGTGAACGTGTAGCGAACATAACTTCCACAGATATCATATGAAAATACATGAGAACAATGATCTGGAAAAAGGATAAATGTATCAGAACTATGTGAGGTGTTGGAAGTGACCCAGAAACTATACTTGAAAGGAAATATTCTTGTATGCGTCGGTATGAACAATACACCTCGTAGCCTCACGTGACATATACCCACGACAGGTACAGTGATCAGAGAATCTTATGTCTGTGTTCAAATAGTGCAATGTGTGAGAGGAGGATCCCTCATTACAGTTTTAAGTGAAGTTGATACACCCCCGCCATGAACATTCAGCCTTTGTTTTAAGGAGCGTCCTGTACCCGCCTTGGGTGTGCCGCGTTGATATTATAACCCAATGAATTTACCCACGAACTAGCAAACCAAGACCTTACCTTAGTGTGTAATTTAGGATTAAAATGTGTTTATGCGGCATGAGTGACAATATACCGAAAAGTGTTCAGGTGAGAACCGTAAGAAATAAAAGTAAAAATTAAAGATTGAAACTGTAGGCCTACGCGGTGATGAGCGGCAGGGCACTGCCCTCAGTACCCTCCGTTCTACCGTCACCTCAGGTCAGTGTCCTATCGGGCTATATCCCGCCCTATAATTAAGGCTTATATAGCAGTTATTACAGTTTAAAGCTTTGCCTGATATATAAGTGTAATAGTAATGTGTTAGGGGATGTGATAACCGCCCGCCAGGCATTATTTCTCAGTACCCTCCGTTCTACCGGTCACCTCAGGTTCCATGCGTCGGAGTGCCTTGCTGCCCGGCAGCCATTATCCCTATGAGCGTCCCAACAGGTTGTGACTACTCCCAGCTATGCCAATCCACTGTGAACCTGTGGATTTCCAGCACACCACTCCAAATGAGTAGTAACAAATAAGGAGACCGTGAGAAACTCTGCGGTCGTCACTTGGAGCGACCTATAATACCAGGCGTAGAAATAGTGCTGGTATGTCTCTTGGTGAAGCCCTCGTCTTTACCCACCGAGGGCGGTGTGCGAACGAGGTGCCTGTTGTGTATACCTAAAAGTCACAAGGAGTCCCATACCTGCAGGGGTGGAGTGTAACGTGCGTTGAGATGGTGCTACTATGTATGATAACCGACGGTGCTATATTCAGTCTGATGTGTTCAGGGATAGTGTAAGAAGGAATGACCGAGGTAAGGTGGTCACAGATTGTTATGCAATAAGTAAGTGGATGACACGCCATCAATGTAAGACGTCTGGTGCCCATCTGGGTAACCAACATTTTCGTTGTTCTTCCGAGGAAGACCAATTCCTGTGTATGTTTTTTACCAGTATGCTTTATAAGGAATAAATTAATTAAGACATGTTATGGTTTCACCCTTCTTTCCCCTTATCGATCTGGTCAATGGAAAACCTAACCCAATGCCTAGTCCACTCTGCACGCTACCTAACGAGCTACATGCTGTCCAGAGGGGGTCTGGTGGTAGCGACCCTTAGAAATTAAGATTAGAGTTAAGTATTCCCCCTTAGAATTAGTGACCCCCAGTCTGGCAGTATAACCATGACAAGAAAGGTTGAGCCTGGGAGTGATTTGTCTTTCTTTGTAATAATAGAGAAGGTAGAGACACAAGTTCTTCGCAGAAATTAATATTTTATGAAATGTTTATAGTATCAGAAGTGATCTATGTTGATGTTCCAGGTGGTGTATATTCATTCCATATTAGTTATCTTAGGTTGTTTAGCCAATTACTGCACGTCCTTAACTAGTCTTTAATACTGTACATGTGCTTCTTGCCTTCCATAAGTTATACAAATCCTCCACCATAGATCTTTTTCCACATTATTTACTCATCGTGTTTAAAGTATGTCACTTTTCTTTTTATCTTTCAAACTTAATCTGTCTACAAAATGACAAATTATTCCATCGGACAGAGTGAGGAGGTGCCCATACCAGTTGGCCGTGTTTACGTGGAAGATGCCGATGACTGGGACGCTGGCGATAAGACATGGGCGTGGAAACGAGACGACCGACACCCACTCTTCACCCTGGACGCCCACACAGGTCATCTCACCATGAATGCTCACGCCCACGATGGAACGTGAGTTGGAGATTCCTTTTCTTTCTTTTTTTACTTTGTAGTGATCAATTTTTGGAAGAGTTTAAGTTATGACTGATCATAAAAGATTGTACTGGATTGATGGAACAGATGATAGTAAAGATAAGGCAAGGAATAACTGATAGGATTATTATATTTGTCAGACCACCATAACTAGTAAGTCTCAGGCGCACACCACTTTCATGGAGTACTGTACTTAAGCGATGAGTGGAGAGAACATAAAATGAGCGCCGCTTTACATAAACATCTGTTGTATCTCTGACAATCTCAGAAGAAAGCACTATTTTGGTTCTTAATTGTTTGACTTCTCCTGCACTCTTAACCAACAAGTATAGAGAATAAAGAGTTAGTGTAGGCAAGGCAAGCTGAGAGAAGAACATCTACCAGTTCACTTGGGGGTACTAGGCAGTTTACACCTTAGACGTTTATGTATAATTATGTATATATTTGGTAACATGTATTTGATAACTCGCCTACTTATGTATTTAGTAAGTGAGGTAATTAAGTTGTCAAATGTTAACAGGTGTTTGGTTCAGGTGTGTAATGTTAACACTGTGGACAGATATGAGCTGCAGTTTGTGGTGAGTGACGTGAGCCACAACCAGAGGAACGTGGGTGCCAACGTGACCGTCACAGTTACTAGTGTCAGCCGTGACGTCGTTGCCTGTGCCGTGCCTGCCCATGTCACCACCCACTCCCCTCGTGCCCTCATCACCCCACACAAGGTAACACTCCCCCTGTGCCGCGCCTGCCCATGTCACCACCCACTCCCACCTGTGCCGTGCCTGCCCATGTCACTGCCACTCTCCCACCTGTGCGTGCCTGCCCATGTCTACCACCGCTCCCCTGTGTGCCGTGCCTGCCCATGTCTCCACCCTCCCCATGCCTCATCACCCCCCACACAGGTAACACTTTCCCCCTGTGCCCAGTGCCTGCCCATGTCTCCCTACTCCCCCCCCCCTGCGTGCCTGCCCATGTCTACTCCCCTGTACCACCCATGTCACCCTGCTCCCCCCCCTGTGCCTGCCCATGTCTCCCCCAAATGCCCTCATCACCCCCACACAAGGCACTTGCTCCCTGGCCTGCCTTCTTCTTGTCTCCTGCACCACTCCCCCTGTACCGTGCCTGCCCGTAGTCACCCCACTCCCCAGATACCCCTCATCCCCACAAATGTGCTCCCTCCTGTGCCGTGCCTGCCCATGTCACCACCCACTCCCCCCGTGCCTTCATCACCTCACACAAGGTAATACTCCCTCACCACCAAGCCTTCATCACTACATTAGGACCGTGACTGGTGAAGCAGGCCCCAACCTAACCAATCCTATTAGGACTGGGATCCGTTTATTCTGCAACTCTTCTTAAATTTATGCCCCTAAGATCGACAACCCACAGAACAAAGGAAGAGACTACAGATCCTTGCCAAACTCTTAATGTATTTTCTGCTCTCGGCCGGATATGCAACTATGCACCAAATAAGTGTTCATTAAACGGACGAGACAGTGTTGGTCATAATGTGTGTCCGTAGTGTGTAGTGGCGCGTGATTGGTTAAGTTCAGGTGACCCAAACTGTAATTTTTTGTACACAGAATTATATATGATTTCAGTACTTGGTTCTCTAACAAAGATGCATAGACACCTGGTCTCTGGTCTGTAGCAACAACCTAGACAATGCAGTAATTGATGTGTTTGTCACGACGCAGTTACTCCATTTAAAATATAGGCCGTGTCTCTCTCCTGGACGGCAGCTTGCATGGCGCTCCCCTCTCGAGGCTCTGACGGTGTCAGTGGAAAGGGTGGCCGGGGTGGATGTGGGCGTGCTGTCCTTGGAGGAGAGTCCTGTCCCACCCACCAGCGGGTCCACAGGGGCGCGGGTATGGTTTACCGCCCGTCCACGCCAGCCCCTCGACCAGCTTCTACTGTTACATCGACGCAAGGTACTTGTGTGTGTTGTAACAAGAATGTTATTTATCAGAACAGGAAGTAAACGCTCTTGGAATAAACAACCCCATAGAGTTACACACACGACTAACATAAACACAAGACACAGTACCGAGGTGACCAGTGTAGTGTCCCCTGCCAACAACACCTGTCGTCAACTGACGTATGTGAGGAGTTGTCTGGATTTAGGTCTACTAAAACTGTGAACTACCTAATATGACTTACCATGTTTGTCACTTCTGTGTAACCTCAGTCACACTCACACATGTTGGAAAAACAATGTGAGAAAAATACTGAACTACCATATTATTTTTCAGATATCCAGTGAATCTGGCGTAGGTGTGACCAACGTGGGAGTAGGCGTGTGTATAACCGTGACCTCAGCAGAGCACACCAAGGGCGGGAGTGTGTGGGTGGTGGATGCTAACAGGACTTCACTAGTGACCCCGCGCCTGGAGATCTCGGACAGTGGGTGTAGCTGTCACGCCTACCGCCCTCACCTGGCCCATCAGTGGCAGGTGACCCCCAGCGCCGACGCCCAGCCCAGTGCTGCCGCCGTCACCCAGCCGGCCTCCTGCCACCCCAACCCCTGCCTCAACGGTGGTCGCTGCATGGCTCACACCCGCGGCCCAAGGTACAGTAGATGTGTTGTGTGTGTCTACATGCAGTAGTGTATTTTTATTGAGCAACAGCAAATGGTCTTCATTACTCAAAATCGGACAGAAGTGTTACTGTGAAAATTATTTAGTCAAACTGAACAATTCCGTGAAATACACAGTCCTCTGATGTCATTACCAGTGGTGAAAAATAAAAAGAGACTCGTCAGTTTGATGTAACATTATTGGAATTACATTCAGCCAATTTAGTAGATAATTTGATCAAAGAAGAAAACTAAGAAATAGTAATCTAAAACAATTAAAATCTTTCACACCCAGAAATATTTTTATTAATATGAGTTGTTGTAGTGTAGATCAAGGCCAGTACAGTATTGCCACTCAGTAATTAATTTATAATGTACAATATGTCAAACCATTTGCCTTCTTGGATTTATGATAAGTAATTTTCACTGTTTCAGATGCGTGTGTCCACAAGACACCAGCGGGTCAGTTTGTAAACAGCTGAGTCGCCATTTCCGAGGTAATGGGTGGGCGTGGGCGGCACCCATCCCGGTGTGCACCCAGGCCCACATCACCCTTGAGCTGCGCACCACTCGCCACGACTGCCTCCTGCTGTATGCCGGACCAGCTGATGATATAGGTCACTCGGGACAACACCTGGTACAAGTAGGTCGTGTGCTTTGTTCACCCTGAAGCCAGTCGCCAAGTACTGTATATAATATAAAGAATATAATACGATTTATCATTTCACAACTTATCAGCTTGCTGGCTGTTTGGGCGGGAAGACATAAAGAGATCACAGACACAGACGACCGTTGTACAGCCACCATCATTTTTTGTTTTTGTGATGTTGCAGACCAATCACATACCTGTAGTCATTTTCAGACTGTGATGCCACCATTGTCCTGACACTACTATTGTATGTCCGAGGAATATGATTGTTCCGCTGGTATAGTTCTTGCTAAAGCAGGAGATATAGTCACGTTGGATTTAAGAGATTGAAGAGAATATCTGTAAGCAATGAGATTTATTTTGTATAATGAATTGTAAATTATCTGAATTTCATGTAAGCTTGGTAGACAATACTGTACTATGGTATATGAATGACAACAAGAGCTCTCCAACTGTCCGCAAATTGCTGAACTAATCCAACTTGGTTCAATTACAGCATTTATTTTTAAGATCAAGGCTTTACTATGATGACATAACCATACAAAGGGGAGCACCACCTGTCCGAAAAATCCGATTGTCCAATTCTTCTTCCGGTGAATGTACTAAATGTATAAAAACGATAAATAATGATATAAAAAAATACTCGGTACCGTATTTTGCGGCATAGAAGACGCACCCCCTCTTTTAGCAGGAAGTATTTAGGAAAAAAATAGTGTGTAATTTCCTCCTGTAGCCATAGTTTTCTTAAAATAATATATACAGTACTGTAGGGGTATCGAGATATTAATATTGTCTAGCACTCAGGATGGGCTTTCTATTAGTTTTCTTTAGCGCCATGCTAAGACATATGACGACAGTGCAATTGCACTGGGGTGCCTTTCCAGGAATGGTCTTGGAGGTGGACTCTCAATGGAGACAGGCTTTATATATACCCAATAGTCATGTTGGGAGAAAACCGGTCCTTGATTGAATAGTTTCAAACAGCCAGGAATAATGATGGCAGGTCTGGTGACTTTGTGGGAGACGTCCACTACAGTACCAGGAAATGTGAAGAATAAATAAAAATAATACCAATAAATAAGTTACAACAAAAAGTAGTGTAATTGCCAAATCAGTAAATAAAAGACAAATGAAAGTAACACAGTCGCCATTTGCATACACTACCTGTTGCACCAGACTAACGAAGGCCAGCTGGGACGCCGATTCACAAGCAACGCCCCCTTCCCTTACACTCTGCAACCTCCTCCCCTCCCTCACTCACCCAGCTAACTCATGTGCAAAGAAGTGTAAATCCCTTTACGTGTTTGCCCTAAGGACACTTATTTCTTTTACTTTTTTTACAGTGCGTATGTAGGATGGTCTGTCCATGTAGCGGAGTAAAAATAATTGAAGTTACGTATATCTGTACAAAAGTACAAGTTGAAAAACAACCGTAACACCACAGCTTGGCCCAGTAGCCTGGGTGTTACAATGATGAGTCTAACCTGGTTACGATGCCATGATTAATCACCATTAAACACTGTTATATCAGTAAACACTAATAATAACAGTAAATCCAGTAAAATATGGCAGGGAGCGAAGAGAGTTACAACTGCAGACAATGCTTAACTAGTACAGTAGTAGTCACTTGACTCACTCGCCGTACTCGTTCCCGTTACCAAGCGTATGGTTGAAGCACGTATGGGAGAAATACTGTACATATCTTTTAGTCTAATTTGTAAACGATGATAAGCACAGTGATAAACAAATTATATAAATCATGCATTTACCTATGATAACATAATTCGAAACATTGTATCGTTATTAGAGTGAATGAAATATTATTCCCACAAACAATAATGTTATTGATGACTCTGTTTGTTTCCTGCCTTTGGCACCTGTGTCCCACACGTTGACATCTTAGTTACACGAGCCTAAGGTGATCTTTTCTCTTTTGGGAATGCTTCTTAGGGTCGGAACCCAAAAATTTTGTCCAAACCGGAATATATGTATATGTGTAATTGTTAGTGATGAATATTAAGAGTGAAATATGTTGTTGTGCAGGAGGATGTTGTGAGCCTGGAGCTGGTGGGTGGTCGGCCACGAGTGTTGGTGGACCTGGGCACCAGCCCTGTGTTGTTGGAGGCAAATCAGGACCACCACCTTCCCTCCCTCGCTGACGGTCATTGGCACCGCCTTGACCTCATCATCACTAGCCAAGTGAGTCAGCTTTCATTATACTGAAGCATCTCCCTTGTGAGTTAATTGTGGGCCATCTGAAAGTAAGAGATCTCTTGTATACTTTTTAGAACTCAGAGTGTGTTTGGTTGTGTGTATGGATGTACATTTATTATTTCCAGTCCTTTGTATAGTATTTGTGTGTTAAATATTTTACAGAAAGTGGAAGTGATCGTGGACAGGTGCCAGCACACTGGTGAATGTCGGCTGGCGGCGCCCTTGCCTCCACAGGACCATGCCCTCACTGTGGCGGCGCCCATGCAGGTGGGGGGGCTTGCCCATGCCCTCCCCCACCACAATCACCATGGCTGGCCAACACAGCTCACCCAGAAACCCTTTCATGGGTGTATTCGTAACCTTAGAGTTAACGGAGAGGTGAAAATCCATTATGCTTATACTGTACTGTATTGGTCTATTAGTTCTCTGCTTAATCAGTTTGTTCCTCATACATTGCTTCCAACCTTTTCTTTAGTCAGGTTTCCCATCCACTTGAAATTGCATCAGAGAATTACTCTTCAGGAGTTCCACAAGTAAATACTATTGACATCACCAGCTTGTCGGCATCATAATATTTCATGGCCTTTGATTTGACAAAAGGTTTTCAAGCATTTACACTGAAATCAGTTGTCCAATTAAGTTGAATTCAAGCTAAGAACTTCTCTCATTAGTCCTTAGAACATATTACTATAATATTTGTATATGGTTTATTGTCTCGTCAACTGTCCAGGTACTGTATGCATCTTTTCCTTTCTAAACTGTGTAAGTTACCACCATTAGATTAGTTCATTCAGCAGCTCATGGGAGGTAGATGCTAAAGTCTATTATGTTTTTCTTATTGTAGAATTAATTATTTAAAAATCATGTCGGTTGTGGACCAGTAAATGTTATACATCCATGTATTAGTCGAGGCATAATACTGTACACATTTACAGTATTCTGACAGTTAACTCGAGTACTGTACCGTACAGTACCACTTATCTCGTATTACTCTCCATACACACCATCATCTGGTGGGTATCATTATATGAAATATAATGTTAGCACAGCTCTCGGTCTTGTATGAAGTATATTATTATTGTTTTTCATGTTTTTCAGCTTCGGGACCTGGGCGAGGCAGTGTTGGGGCAGGACAGCTGGCCGGGTTGTCCAGGACAGGACCCCTGCTCCCTGGCTGGCGTTCCCTGCACTCATCATGCCAGGTGAGATAACATCACCCCGCCATGACAATTGTCAACACTAGTACTGTACACTATCTGGTGGACTAGCATCCTGTCTTGGGGATAGAGTAACCCACTACTGTACCTGTTAAGTTTGAATTTGAAGTGAAGAGTCAGATCAACTACCTGGCCACCCTACATCATAGCAGGAGATATAATGTGTGTGTGTTCATTTATACTGTACAGTATATTATTTGTATTTGCATTAATAATTCTCTATCTTATATCTTTTCTTTTCTTTTTATTTTAATTTAGTCACATTTGGTGTGGGTTCATAAAAGGAAGAAGTGACAGTCAAGATCTTACCTTAAAGATCATGAATCAATTTTTTAGGAAAGAGGAAAAACTTGTTTATGGTATTTAGGGATCTGGAAAATTAATTTGATAAACGAAAATTAATATAGGAAATATATTGTTGTGTTGTGTAAATGGGAAATAATTGAATGGTGTCTAGTTGTTGTTGTTCTTATAGGGAGTGGAATGGATCCCTGTGAAAGTAAGATAATATCAAGGACGTGTAATGGGTGGAGTAGTGGGGGAGTGAAAGTCAAAAGTGGTGAAGTGAATCGGCTGCCATTTGTGTATCATTATCAAGACTTATCATTTAAGATGTGTGGAGGTGGGTGGGAGATGGGCATGCGAGTGTGAGCCGGGGCGAGGTGGTCAGGACTGCACCACAAACACCTTCCCTGCCTCCTTTTCTGCCAGCAGTTATGTCAAGTTGGCTCTCTCCTCTGCTCTGCCACCCAACACCACCTCGATCCAGCTACGGTTAGTGACATCATGGTTCTCGTTGCACATTACCTTTCCTTAATTTCCCACTGTATAAATATATATATGATCATCCTTATCACCTGCCAATTTTTTACCATTATTGCCGTCACCTGCTTGAACTACTATAATCATTAATCATCTTTTGTTTATCATTAGTATCAAGTGTCACCATTACCGGTCGTCCTACTAACGCCATGATCAGCTACCAGAGGTGTTCCTGCATCATGGCAGTGTTAATTGTTAATATCCATTTCATCGCTAAACTCATCAAATAACTTCAACCACTAATGCCATTTTCATACTTAATTATTTCCTATCATTACCATTAATTGCTTCCATTGATATTTTGTGGTCATATATAAGTTACCCATCAATTCAGGTACCGGACATGGGAAGAGTGGGGTCAGCTTATAGCAGTGACCTCCCAACATGGGCGTGACCTTGCAGCATTGCACCTGGTGGGCGGCCACGTCTGCCTCAAGCTGCTGCTGCACCCCACTGCCCTCACCCATCTCTGTCTCTCCCAGGTGCTGCTAACTGACGGTGAATGGCACACTGTGTACGTCCACAGGTGAGTGTACAGGGCGACGGGCAGAAGTCCTTTATGCTGTCAAAGTCGATCTGAATCTTGTGATAACATGATGTGAATGTTTTAGAAAGGATGTAGCTTTGGGCCTTGTCTTGGTGAAAACCGAGATCTGGAATAGGTTTTGTCGAGGGTTTGGATTAAAGCCATGTGATTGAAATATTATACTGTATTTAAATCGGAAAAAAAATGTATATATTTTTTACCAATAACTTATTTTATTTTTCCCTTGAGATTCTCTATGTAGTACTGTATAACTAAAGTGGATATTATATAACTATATAGGACGGGGGCCGTCGTTATGTGTTGTACTGATACACATCATTTCACATATACCGTAAGTCACTAACTAGCATCGGAAGAAATTGTCATAACTGTTTTATACTAGGTATGTGTGTATTCAAATATGATGCATGAATATTGTAGTGTTAAAAACGTCTAATATAATGTAGAAATAACTTTCAAGTAATAAAAGTGACCGACAAGTGTTTAGTGTTATTCGTTCAACTGGTGGATAATCACAAAAAAAGTTTACATGTACGATATATCACGTCTAAGTAATGTTAATATTCATAAGGCTTACTTTTTGTTCATCTGTCTAAGAAGTTAAAATGCCATTTATTTCCTCCTGCAGATCTCATTACAGAGATAAGTTAGATCAGATTAGTTTAAGTTCCTATTGGTAAGCTGTAATCAAGTGTTACAATTTATCAGTTTTATGTCATGTTCATAGATGCCAGTCTTAAAACTGTATTTGTAATTCTTTTCATTTTACTCTCTATTTAGCCTTAAATGGAGAAAATATCATTTTCATGTATCTGTACTGGTAAATGATGCAAAAATTTAAATAATTTAAATAAAAAAATCAGTTTTAAATCAAGAGAGATTTTTTTTACTTTCTTAAAAATAAAATGATTTTCTCTAACCCTGGTTTTGTCAGAGTGAAGGTTGAGATCTGGGCATTATTCTCAGATACGGTACGTGGGCAGAATTGCAGGTTGATGAAGGAGATGGACCATTGTATAATGCCACACCCACACCAGCAACGCTCCATGGGTGGAAAACACCTCTATTGATAGACAGACAGGAAGGTGTGCACGTAGGGGGATCACCAGAGTATGTTGGTGTGAGTCTCTACACTGTTCATCATGACTTCTTGGATGGTAAGACCACTCATCACTCACTACTGTTAAAGTTTATTTTCCTGTTCTATTTTCCTCCCTAAAGATAATTAGTTCATTCATGAAGCTCGAATTTTGCTGCAAAACTCGACCCACCCAGATTATTACAGTTTACGTTTGTTCTCTAGTATTTACCACCTTGGAATTCTATTGGTTATTTTTTATCCCTAAGATTATCATTTTGTCAGCAAATTTAATAAAGTGTCTATAAAACACAGTGGGTATTAACCTTCTGGTACGCCCGGCCAGGGTTCGAAGTCTCATCCCCTTGCAGTCTTACATTTTCCCATCTTAATAAACATTGGGTAAAGCAATCCAGACCCAAATTACACCCTTAGAGATGCATCTGCCAGCCCACGAGGCTAGTGGGAGGAACTTGGGGAGTTGATAGAGCTGGTCCACTGTTCCCGCATTTCTGCTTATGGGGGGGGGCGGGGGGGTGCTGACAGTGTGAGATATAGCTGAGCAGGAGGGGTTGCTCCAGCACAGGAGTCAATGCAATTTGTGTTGAAAAACCACAAGAAGGTTAAGGACATGCATTATGATGAAATATAGTCTTTAAATTGTATTCATGTTTCCGTACGGTGTACATTACTGTATTGTAATGTTTTATTGAAAGAATTTGGTTTTAGTGTTGGATACATAGCATCTTCACTAATCCCTCTCCTTCCATACCACCACTTGGTAATTTTACCTGTTCCAACACAACTGAACAGACTATGACAGTTTTGAAAGAAAATTACTTCTCTTCTGGAAAATATAATTTGATTTAAATCTTACCAACCTTAGTTCTCCCTGATTTTTAACCCCACTAGGGGAGGAGGGAGGGAATTTTTTCACTTGGTTTATAAAAAAAAAGAATCTTGTCAGTCCTGCTATATGTGTTTTTATCTTCCTCTTTTATTGGTCTAAAATTTGCTTCACTTTACTTTAGGTTGCCTGGACGATCTGAGGGTGTCAGGAGTCCAGCTGCCACTACCACCTTTAGTGAACTCTTCATCGTGGGCACAAGCAACAATGTTCACCAATGTGGCAGCTGGGTGCACCGCCCCTTCTGCCTGCACCAATGTCACCTGTGAGGAACCTTTTACCTGCTTGGACGTGTGGTGGAGGTACGAGTGTGGGTAAGTTTTTGCCTCCAATTTGCCTTGTTCTGCTAACATTGTTCACAATAAAAATTATCAACAAAATACTTATAAAGCAGTGTACAATACTGTAGTACCGTATTTTTTCCTTCATCTGTGACTTGGTAATAATTAACTCAAACAAGTAGCCTGTCCAGTACTTAGTTTGAGTATCAGTAAACATGATAAGGACACCAGTAACAGCCTATACGAGTAATCTGTGGTGTAATAAGTTCAAAATCATTCCTCTGTTGCAGGTGTCCAGTGGGGTCCATGTTGATGCGGGATGGCGGGGCGTGCCAGGACATGGACGAGTGTGTGTGGTCACCATGTCTCAATGGTGGTTCCTGCATCAACCGTGACCCAAGCTACTACTGCGTCTGCCCGGCCTCCCACCTTGGTGAGTATCTTCCCACCATCATGAACTCTCCATCAACAGTTAATGGAAATATAATTCATTTTATATTTACAACAAATATAATTTCTAGTTACAGTTGCCTCCACATAAATGTACCACGTCCTGGGAGAGTGAAGGCTCGGGTACAATTTGGTGACCCTATTTGCGTAGCCACACATCAGTGCTGAGGAACACTTATCACATGAATACTTTATTTGTTTATATTATCCAGCATTGTTGTGTAGCCATGACAGAGTGACTAGGACTGAACTATGAGGAACCAACAAACAGGGTAATCCAGTTTCACGCCAATGACTACAGTGCTGTGTTTGCCACATCTTGTACCAGTACCCTCACATTTTCCCAGACATAAAACTGAATCTCAATTATATTTTAACCTTCTAAATTTAACACAAGAACAATGAATCAGAAACTGTGAAGAAACAAAGCACAAGTCCTTAGAAAATTAAAATACCTAATGAGTAGCAAGACTGTAAATGATTTACTTTTGATTGTATATATCATTTGTCAATTACATTACAGTCCTGTATTTAATATTCTCCTTCAAATATGGCTTGTTAACTTAAATATCAAATAATGATTAATTGAGAATTTAGTCATTTTAATGGTAGTGCAAGTAATTATTGGATACAGTACAAGACCTCACTCTGATCCTTATGTTGCAGGGGATCACTGTGAGGTGCAGGCTGGGAGCCTCCCCTCCCTCAGGTGGTCTATTGGAGTCCTGGTTGCTGTACTTGTCTGGATCTTCATCTTGTTAGGTCAGTCATCCCAATATTTTCCTTAAACATTTTAATACTCGTACACATAAGAGCTGCACTTTAAACTACAATGCAGTACAGTATTATCTGTTTAAACAATTAAGCTTATATTGTGTATGTAAAAATTTGCATTTTTAAACACAATATACTGTATTTGACAGTTTGTACTGGTGTATATCTTAGCACAAATTAAAATCATTATCAGTTATCTGTGTCAAGAACAACCATTACTGTGGCTGACCATTACTGTTTGTTTGCTGTCATGGTGCCAGCAGTGGTAGTGGCGGCGTACCTATTGCACCAGTGGCGTCAACAACACCACAAGGCACCAGGAGCAGCTGACACCCTAGAGTTGTCCTCACACGACCCGGACCACCACGACCACCAGACCGATGTTATGGAACTAAGCGTTACTAAGAGTGTCACAGTCCAGACCCAGCCGCCTCTAACTAAGGAAACAAAAATAGCTGGTACGGTCTAGTGAGATAAGTAGAGCCCAGATTTTGTATTTGTTTTTTACTCATTTTCTCTTCATACACTTATTTTATGTTTCCATTGCTTTTTAATATTCCACTAAAGGGAACTCCCAAGGGTTTTTTTAATTACTATTTGACTGTCCTTAAATTAATGTGACTGAATCTGCAATAGGCATCTAACACATTTATTTGTGATAGACTGGTGTGACATCATTGTACTGTTCATAAAGATTTATTTTTTTTTTTATTTTTTTTTTTCTTTGTATCGTTAATTTACAATATTTTGATTAAGTACAGATGCTCACTTATCATGTAGTAGTATCTCCATTAGCCGGAACAATTGGTTCAGAGCACTTCCAGGAATGAGAGATTTCCGGGTAACGAGACGACTCTCAAACCTGGAAAAAAAATCCCTCATCCCCAAAATTTTCTGGAATTTTCTGGGTACCGGGAAATTTTTTTCATAATTTTCCGGAAAATGTTCCCCCTCAGAAAATCGTTCCCAAAGCCGGAATTTTATGGAAAATTCCGGCTTTGGGAACGATTTTCCGATAAAATTTAAATTCGGCTATCAAAGAGTTCCGGATTTGAGGGATTCCGGTTAAGGGAGATATTACTGCACTGGCTTTGCATACCGTAAACTTGTATCAGAGTACAGTATGTGTCCTTATTCATAGTGATGGACAAATGACATGGCCAGTAGTGATGATTTAAGTTATCAATGTTTTTGTCGGTTAAAGTAGGTCGGCGATAACACCGACTTGCCATACCGAGCAAACTGAAAACAACTCTCGACGTTGTGTTGGCAGGTGTTGATATTCTCCAGCAAGAGGCACGGACAGGGGTTGGTGAGGGGGGGACAGAGGGAGGGTGTGGATGCCCCCATCTACCCTCCCTTGACGACCTGCGTAACTACGCTTACGAGGGAGACGGCTCTTCCCCCGGCTCCCTGTCCTCCTGTTGCTCTGGTGAGTGCCAACCAGTGCCCTTCACTTAAGTGATGTCTGCTGAACAGTTTAATTAAAGTATTTCTATGATTATGTACATGAAATTCAATTTAATTTTAATGTACTGCAATGACTGAATTGCAATACTTGTACAGTAATACTGTTCTGTTAAACATATTTGGTGCTCTATGGCATAAAAGACATACAATTTCACCAATGTTTTACTAAATATTTAGATGTTATAAAAAATACTGGAATTTATTTCAGAAAAAATTGCATTACAGTACTTCAATATGGTTTAATGTGCAGGTCATCCCTAAGACATTACATACACACACACACGCACATATATATATATATATATATATATATATATATATATATATATATATATATATATATATATATATATATATATATATATATATATATATATATATATATATATATATATATATAAAATTTAATATGTATTCCTATATATTTTGTTTTACAGGAGGTGATGGTGGAGGAGACACACGACTCATGGGAGGCTTTCAAGAAGTAGCCACCTTACTTAACTGCCTCAGTGGCCCACAGTCACTTGAGTCGCCCTCTTTTCACGAAACTCCCGATGTGTCTTCAATAAGAACGACTAAGAATCATCATGTAAACACACGCAGAATGTCCACTAACCAACTCGCATCCTCTTCTGATAAGCCCTTATCAAATGATGCTCGGCCCCATAGTGTTCATCAGTCAAATTCAATTTGGGTTGACAGTAAAAATCTTCATACAAAAAATACTCCCAAAAAGAATATTAGAATATCAGTCTCTAAAACAGATACTTTAGAAACTGGGATCCATAATGGTAACTTGTATCTGGACTCCAGATTATGTCCAGGTTTTATGAACAATAAAAGTAACTCATTACCTAGATCAAAAATACCTACTATATTTATAAATAACCTACACACTGAAAGTCCAGACCCTGGATGTCCTCCACAGGAAACTTGGCATAATTCCCTCAAAAAGAAGAAAATTCCTTTGTCAATCACCTCTGGGTACTTGGGGGACACCAGTGAAGCAGCAAGAAGCAGCTGTTGTAGCCATGTAGCGCCACTAGAAGGCAGAGAAGAACTGCCCTCCCTCCTCACCTCTCATGGTGTGTGCCACTCATGTGTTACAGTTTCTCTCCAGCTGGACAGCAAGATGGGACGGTTGTATGGCATTCCTAGACGAAGCCTTTCGGCATCTACTGTATCTTGTTTAACGGATAAAGAAAACGGCGCTTGTAGCAAAGCTGTATGTGACCACCACAAACTAGAGAGACAATGTGTACACCCGAAGTGTTGCTTGCATGGATGTTATACCCAGAGTTCCATTCCACCTGTTTACCCATGCCCACAAGCAGGCTCCAGAGGGTGTACGTATACCTCTTGCCAAGGTGCTACATTCCCTAGTACCAGATCAACAGATTACAAGAATAGTCACATCCATATGTTCGTTAACAGAAATAATGCTGGAAAAAAATAGCGACCATTAACATGCACGCCTTTGGTGCTGCAGAAGCATTATGTGCCTCAATGTTTTTTATTTTATTTTTTTTTTTTGTCTCGTCTTCTAAATGGAAGGGGAGTACTTTTCCACACTTCATTTAGTAATGCTGCATCATAAATAAACAATTCTAATTTTATGCATCTCATTGGACTTGTTGATCACAAAAATATATAGTAATATATCTTTGTACTTTTATAGGTATAATAAAGTGCAAAATGTTTATTAAACATTATACTTATAAGAAGACTTGTGTTATTCAATACCTCATTCAGACATGTGTAAACATGTACTTCTTTTACCCATAACCTTTAGATGAGTGACCATTGAAACTATACAGCAAGATATTGTACAGACACAACCTGCGAATGTCCATCTGATGTACAGCAGTGGTGCCCAAATTTAATGGTTAAGCATAAGACGAGGACCACACACCTGTGCTGATAAGTATCAAATTGCCTTTTTATACATTTTCTCAGGAATAGACTAGCTTCACCATTAAAACTCACCAGCTTTCAGTTTCCAGAAAAAAAACTTTGTCATCCCAATTCACCTGATATATAACCTTGCATTTCAGCACAAGAAATCATCGCCTAAATTTTCAAATTTCATACAAAGGTAAAGGAAGTCCCTGAGTTATGATCACCTGACTTACAAATGGGATTCAAATATCTATACAGTATTCATCACAAAAATCTAATTATTTTTCTTTACATTTATTTTGTTTAGCATCACTTTATTTACAGTACAGGCAATCCCTGAGTTATCGAACGGTTGACTTACAAACACCTTTTACTTTTATACTCTTCACCACTGATCGGCTCGTTAGCCGCTTGGTCACGTCTCTGTTACACACAGTTGACAACTACGTATAGTGAAACGGGGTGTATGCAAATGGTGACTGTTGAACTTTCATTTGGCTTTTTCTGGAAATTTTGAGAAAATTTTTCCAGTACCTGGAAAATTCCAGGGATGAGGGTATTTTTTTGGCTTTGAGAGTCATCTCGTTATCTGGAAATCTCTCATTCCCAGAAGTGCTCTGCACCAATTGTTCTACCTAATGGAGATATCACCGTTATAACCTAGATGTTTAACGAGAAAGTTGTGGGTACCTTGATGTAAAATGACCAGGTTATTGTGGGACTAAGAGGACCTGGTTCACAGAGTATCAGTGAAGGTATACAGTAGGTACAGTATTCTTTTAAAGTAAACGTTGGGTAGTTGTGAATGTAAAGGAATATCCCTTGACACCCTCAACCTAACCATTTTACACCAAGGTCAACTATGTGCACTGCTTCTACTTACCAAAGGAGACATTAAACCAGCAGAATCAGAGAGAACAACAGCAGAATCAAGTACTGTATATTTAAAAGTTGCCATATCTACAACACTGTAAGTTGACATTATCCACAAAATGTACATGAGTCAATACATTTAACAACAATAACTACCCCACATTGTTTTATTTACAATTAACATCTTATATGTATATGTTGTTTATAAAAAAATACAAATATACAGCACAGTGCATAAATATCGTACATGCACGTCAGTTAAAAAATAAATCCATCTAACAAAGGCTGTGTGGGTGAGTGGTTTAAAACTGGTCAAGAATATTTCATGACAATTTGGTTCATCAACAACCATTTATTCAGCCACATAAATATTCTTTTCAAATTATTTTCAATTATAGGGTATAGGCTCTTTGTGCCATATCCAGTGTCCTCTTAAGCATTAAGTTAACAGCAAACAATATTTGAAGGTGATAATAAAATCTCTTGCTACAATGAGGAAATCAAATTTATCTCACTCATTTCATAATTGCATCAGGAGGCCGACACTAACATTCAGTATCAATGAATGGGATTGAAACGATGGAAAGTTGAGTAATTAGTGTAGAGGTGCTTGAGGATAGTGGTGGTGGCTGGAGGGAGTGCGACCATAAGGTGGTTTAAGCAGTGTCTGTCACACATGTCCAGCAGGTGGTACACGATGCTCTCCAGTATTGTCTGGTTAGGGAAATAAAACACTTAATGATACATCACAAAACACAAGTCCAGTAAACTCTCACCACATCATATCTCACACTTTTATAGTTTGTCATTTTACAGCAAACTTGGGAACAGTTTTATATTGTAGCTAGATACTCATAAGATCTTGGTGTGTGACAGGCTAGTGAGGTCACCACAGCCACTCACTGAGTTAAGAACACTTCAGTAGTTATAGGTCAGACAAATCAGCTTGAACCTGGATTTTCTGTGATATCTAAGTGGTGGAATTACAGATTTAAGCTTCTCATTCAGCTTGATAGGTTGTTGTCTAGATTTATATTTCATACTACCACTGTAATTAAGTTATCTTGGCCAGAGCTAAAGCCCAAAAAGATTCCCCAGTGTAGTCTACACCAAGGTATTTAAAATTCTGTTCTGTACAGATATCTTCAAGGATAAAAGGAAAAGATTTTTTGAAAATTTGGACTAGTAAAGACATTCTAAGATGCACAAATATAAACATATATACTCTACTGTCTTCATTCACTAAATCTAAGGTACTGTAGCACTTTATTATAGTTCATGACATAACCACAACAAATAAAGTCTTATTGAAGATTAACAAATAATAACTAACCTTAACAGCCGGGTACACAGTTGTCAGCTGGAGCGCTCCAACTATAGTAGCAACAGTAAAATGTACCACCTTGTTCAGCTTGTAACTATATGGAGTCAGTTCCCTCACTACACGCTCCAGGTTAGTGCCGCATCCAACCATAATCTGTAACATTAAACTTGCTAGGATTTTTGTCTTTCAAACTACTAATTCCTAACATAGAGCTAAACGTAAACATAAAGAGAATCATAGAACTAATCAATTCTTTCTTTCCTGTCAAGAAATATGAATATACCCAGGATAAAGCAGTCCTCCAACACCTAATTATTACAAAACAAGTTACAAAAGACCACAACTGAGCAACAAATGCACAAAATTCGTCTTAACAAACAAGTCTGATTGAATTCACAGCTATATGTTTCACTAACTGCATTTACAGCTGGGCTCAGACAAAAACATTACAATACTTTCCTCCCTGAAGTAAGACAATGATTAAACTCAATCCACTTCTTCCACTTTAACTCCCACTATGGATCTAACTGAACTTTCCAAACACCCATTTTGGAATAAAACATTTACACACACACACACTGGTGAACACTTAAAACTCCACCCCACAACCTTCCCTACACTGTACAGTACTCATATATTGTTTTAATTAATCTTCCTATTCCCTACATTGTTAATTATGTTATACAGCTCCACTGCATCATATTATTTTACATAAGGTCATCATCATTACCATTTTCCAAGCTTGCGTGGGTCAGTCATGATTTTCTGCCGGCAAAGTGTTACAGTTGCTATAAGGAGTACAAGATATGTTCTTGAAAACGTGTACAGTCACCAGTAAACAAATGTATGTTAAGCAGACAGTGTATGTAAGACTACCAGGTGCCCTTCTACTTGGCAGGCAAGGCAGGATGTTCACTACTCTCTGAGGTAATCAAAGTTTATCAGTCCTTACCTCTATTTGATCTTCCTCCAGTTTACGCTCTTGACTGGCCTGAGCAATGAGTGACGTTGCCAGGTGAGAAATGGCTGCTAGAACAGAAGTTACGCGCTCCATTGCTACACCAATATGCTGCACCACAATGCTGTTGACAATACCAGTAGCAGCAGTAAAGGCCTGAAGAATATAAAATATGTATAAGACAAGACAGTTTCTTCATAGTATAAAATATTTCAATCATTACATTTCTCACTGACAATATGTTACTGTACTGGCTGTATGATTTAAGAACAATGGTGCATATCCCTTATTCAGATAAATTGTTTAATATTTGTCTATTTTATTTTGTTATCAATTAATTTGCTTTTAACAGGAAACAATAACTTACTTGATTAAACTGGTCAATTGGTAAAGTGTGTAGATGAATAGTAGTGCATGGAGTGAGAACAAATGCTCTTGACTGTGCCTCAAATTGTAATGGACAGATGGTTAACTGTCTCAGTGTTTCCAAAATAGGGATGAGATATGGACTAACACACTCCTCAGAATTATCGTAGACAGTTATTAGATTCACAAGAATGGGAATCAGGTGTTCTAAGGCCATGCGTTTTTGAGCTCCATGGACTTCGAACACTTTAGCAGCTATGACAAGTTGCCAAAGAGTAAGTGTGTGGGTTAAGTCGGCATTGTCTGACAGTGTACGTTTCAGCAGATCTTGAAGCAGTTTCTCATACTCATCAGAGGGAGCAGATGACAAGAGAGAATCTAAAGATATATTGTTATGTAGTAAAGAGTCATTGCCTATTGGTAAGCGACCAGGGTGTGAGAGGGCAGTCCAAGCAGTACTCAGAATATGGGCTGGAAGATGGGATTGTAAGGAATTAGAATGTAGTGACACTGTGACAAGAAAGGTAAGAGCATACTCTTCCAACTCAGGGTGACCACTAGAGAGGCAGAGTTCTGACAACTGAAAACTGAGGCCTAAAAGTTTTTGCCACCGAGGAGTTTTGTGCGTTTGTTCCTCAAGTTCTAAACTTTCTTGATCTTTTTTGTGTTCTTCACCAGTGTCTTCTGTTGTAGTTTCTTTGTTCTCTTTGTTAGTACTCTCTACTGTTTTGGAATTATCTTTTGAATATGTTAACACAGTAATGGTGTGAGCAGTCAGGATGGCAGCAGCTGTGGAAGGAGCAATAGTTGCAAGATCCATCTTCTTCAGATGCCGAAGAACCCAGCTGGACAAGTGACGCATTGCCCACTTGCAAGAAAAGCTTTCCATCTGGAAAAATGATTAATCCTCATTCAATTATTTGGACACAGAGATATACCAGTATGGTACTTATAAAAAATAAATAAAAAATAAGTGGGATCAATACTAAAATCCCTATTTCTAGCAGAGGCCATAGCCACATGGTTCACTGTAATAGGGAATGACTGAAGGATCTGGGTTCAAATTAAAAAAGTGAGTAATTGTTGTTACAGATTTTGAAATAATTAAACATATTTAGAATATGTATTGTACTTAAATTGTCAATTATGCTGTACCTGTAAGTTTTAAACCACATTTATATATATTTTCACGTTCTAGAAAACAGCCGTACGTTGCCCTGAAAACACCAGACCACAATCTTGCTTTTTGGCACATGAGGCCATGAAATAAATTTTGTTCAAAATTCATTCAAAGGTACTTACTCTTTTCATACTGGTTAAGGATCTGGGCTCTTAATTTAAAAATTTGAGTAATCAGCGTTAATTAATTTCAAAGTTAGTCTGCTTGAAACTACAATTTTGGACACACAGATGGACATACAAACAGGCAAGACACCTACTGGGATAACTCTCTAGTGTGTGCCCCTTTTACATGGGCATTAAAATGATCATATTAGCTTAATAAGAGTATGCCTTAATAAAACATAAAACTTATCACCTTACCCTGTAACACGCTGCCATAAGTAACACAGCTGGTTGTAGGAGAAGCTCAGCATCTGTGTCAACTACAAAGGATGTGGTGATGTAATTTGTCAAATCTTTTATGTCATCGGCATTTTTACCACCAGCCGTCAACTTATACAGGAGTGCACTTAAGAGCTGATCAAAGTGTTGGCCTGTCAGTGCTTGAACTGTCAATGAATCTTCTGGTTTATCACTGGACTGATCTCGAGGGCAGATCTTTTTCTTCAATACTGTTTGAGACAAGTTGGCCATATGTTGTGACACACTAGAGAATGGAAAAGAAAGTCTCTTTTGAACTAGCCATTGTAAGAAGCAACTTGCATCTATAATTCTGAACAATCTAAATGAACGTTTTGAGCACAGAACTTTATTTATAACATGCAATAGCGATGAAAAATTTTCCTCTGTGTTTTCAAGATCTTTCCGGGTCACGAGTGCAAAAAACACCAAGAGAAGAGCAGTTTGGAATCCTGTGTAAAGATGTGGTAATGGAAATTTCCCCAACAAATTGATCATTGCACATAAATCTGTGGTATTTCCTACACTTCCATTGCTTGCATCTGAATTCTTTATCAGTTTTTTCAAAGTATTACCACACTTTTTGAGCATTTCCCATAGAGCATTCTCTTCAAATAGCCCAGTATCAAACTCGGAAAGCAGAGGGCCAATTTTGATCATCTTCTTTAATAGTTCAGTGTAATAATTCTTGTTGGTAGCTGGTGTGTCTTCTGATTCAGAAATCTTTCTTTTACATGATCCTGACAATGTGATCAACGTGGAGCAAATACTGGAGAAGATGTGAGGGTGGAGTCGGCTCGCCTCACAAAACTGTTGGCTGTCAACATACTCCTGCCAGACTTTCTTTCCTTCTCTAATCCCACACACCAAGTGCCTGAAAAGGTTCAAAATTACTAAAAGATAAACGACATCGTTCGTTTCCCTTATTAGTAATAAGTACAGTACAGGATAAATCTGTTCATTATGATGGTAATATATTTTAACATAAGTATATTTTAGACATCTGTAAACTTATAGGGAAGAACCATTATATTCATGTACACCGATTATCTATATTCTTCCCTTGTGTGTGATACTGTAAAGCCGAGCAAAGGAAGACAGTAACCAAGAGAGTTAAGAGTAATGAAACCATTAAATACTGACCTTGCTATAGCTGGCAGATGACTGTTATGGATGAAAGGCAGAAGGTAAACAAGATGGACTGTCATCAACTGAGACACATTACTACCCCATATGTCCAAGGCATTCATTAAGTACTTGGTCTGGACTTCTATTGTTTGTCTGGTTGGGGTTTGGTTTGCTTGGTCACAAGATACATCCAAACATAAATAATTTCTGTGATGCTCAAGAGCTACTTGGCTGAATTTCTGTATAACAAGCTGCACCTGTAATGACCAGGTTATATTTTAAGGGTTTGTAAGATTAGTCACATAAAATTATAATATAAGTATAATAATTTTCCTCAAATATCTCTCCTAGCTACATCTGTGTCAAGAAAGATAAATCAGACATATTTACAACAGTGTAAGCTGCCAAACTTTCATTATCCAGACTAAGTTTCTATAGGTAATGACAAACTAAGGTCTGTTTCTTGGACAAGTGAAAATCTCCCTCCCTAAAGAAGTGATCAACAGCTTCTGTAACAAAGAGGCAGCCAGCTTAAAGGTACGTGAAATTTTTGTTAGATTTGTAAGGTCAAACTGACAATAATTCTGAAGTTCCTGATGTACCCAGGAACATAAATGAATCAAACCAATTCCAATGTAAACTCCACCAATGAAGAAGCACTATCAGGTTCATTTCTGATACTATACTGAGCACGAAATTATTGGAACAATGAAGGAAGAGAAATAAATGATACAATTAGGATCAGAGGCAGAGGGAAGCGGCACCTACTAGAGCCAGTTGTGTCGGCTGATCCCCAAAGTTGGCGACCCTGGCAGATATCTGAGCCCAAGCTTCCGGTGAGATAAAAGGAAGAAGATACGAGCAATCGGTTGCAGTGCTCGGTTTTGGTGGATGAACTTTAGGTAAATCTGGCCCCTCAGAGTACCTGTAACATAAAAAATCATTAAAATTATCTACATAGATCTAGGTAGGATAATAAAACACTAATTGCTACGCTAATCTGCAGTCTCTACCACTAAGCCGTGCAGGAAAAGGCTCCTCTGATTGGAAGAATTTCTTTAAATCACTATTCCAGTAAATCCTCTGGAAGTACATGTATGACTACCTGATACAAAGACTGGCCTGGTCATTAAAAATTCTATGGATTGAAATAAAAACCTCAAGATAAAGCCATGTACAGCGGAAAAAACTTAAATATTAGCTGTGGCGTTCCTCCTGTAGCTTGTAGTGTGTTACATACACACTAGATGTCTCCAAACAAATGTGTGATGCACTTAGTAAGCTGTTCAGGTGTGGCAAGTACAGCACATGTTGTGTGTGGTTCTTAGAAAGAACCACACACAACATACATGCCTTCACTATAAATCACCCCCTAGATTATTTTAAGTGCTTCTCTGTTGTTTAAATTGCAAAAGTACAGTAAAGTACAGTACACATTCTGTATTGCTTATGATGAAAGAATTATTGATTCGCATATCCAAAGCAAGGAAGCGTAAACATAATTGTGATTTTTGTTTTTTTAATCATTACTTGACAAGAAAGATGTACAATCACAGTCAAGAGTTTGTTCCCGGTAGTGAAACTTGAGTCATGGGAATGAGTCTCTGAACTGACTTACCCTGACTGTCATCTGGTGTGAGATCAGCACCAAGGGTTAATGAGGTTAAGACAGGCAAAATTATCACAGATCCTAACAAATAACACAATACTAACCCCAACAACTGGACACACTACAATACTTACCCTGTGTCTGTAGTGAGGAGGTTGGTGTGAAGTTCCCCCCAAGTGTGACACAGGATTAGGATACTTCCACACACATTATTATTCTGGAAATAAAGGATCCCAAAATAAAGCTACGTCTTGGCTCTAAAAATTTAAATTTCATTCTTTTATATACAACACCCCCAAAGATGTAAAAATTGTGTTCATAATGGCAGCAATGTAAGTTCTGTGAGTGCTGAGATGTATGCATTTGTAGTGTATAATGCATCGTTCCCAAAGATGGAAATTTTCGGAAAATTACAGTTCTGAGAACGACTTTCCGAGAGGCAAATTTACTGGAAAATTCCGAGAAATTCTTCCCAGTACAGTGAGTTCTGCTATAACGCGTGCTTTGACAATGCAAATTGGCTCTAACGCGATTTATGAATAGAGGAAAGATATTTGTATAACGCGAACGCTTGTTTGCTGTAACGCGATTTTTGCATACTATTTCTCCAATTTTGTGGTATTAACTGCGAATATGGTAAAGAAGAATATCTCCAAGAAGCATTCTTGTGATCGCATTCCCGGTGATGATCGTAAAAGAAAGGCTATAACCCTTGAAGAGAAGCTCGATGTTATCAACCTCAAAATCATCCTTCTCCCCCATCAAGTTATATTCATATTTTTTCAAGGTAAAGTGTAACATTTACTGTATGATTTCATTATTAGATATGAATGTAACATTTATTTAGACTGTGCTAACCTTTGTGTTAGGCTAACTACTAAATTTTTTTTTTATTTCGAGTAGTAATCTGCACCTAACCCTATTTTCTCCAGAAGCCCTGTTATTTCTATTACGCGAATTTCTATAACACGATGTTTTACAAGAACACAACTATCGCGTTATAGCAGAACTGACTGTACCTGGAAACTTCCTGGGATGAGCTACTGCAAGCAGCTCTTTATGTACTGTACAGGGCACTACGGCACCTCCTAACAAAACTGTATTAAAAATTTTTCCTCTGTTAGATGCAAGGTTAGTCTTCCTCTAGTTTCAAAAATAGAAAAAATAATTTCAAATCTTGCAAGAAGAGCACCCGTTATTTGCACTTTTCTTCCCTGTCCAGCATATATGATGTGAAAGGTTCTTCAACACTGAAATATTACCCATAACATTCAAAAACTTACATGAGGTTGAGTAAGCATGGCAGTAACAAGAGGTGTGATGCCATAGACTGCAATCTGAGTCATGATGTCAGCATAATTTTGTGCAACTCCTACCACAGAGACGGCTTGTATGGTGGGGCTGGCCTTCATGATGCACGAAAACAACCACACCACCACACTCACCAACTGCAAATCACCAGGTTTAACTGCAAAATAAAACTACTGTCAGCTTAAGAAATATATCAAACTTTCAGGAATACAATATTCCAGCTCAACTTCTATTTCTGGATCAGTGTCATTAAAACCTTTTGATGAGAAACAATCATTTAAACACTTAAGGTTCAGAATATCTGTGTGGCACTGAGATGACTTGGGAACTAGGGAAAGCCTTGATATTAAATAACTACAAATAAATCTTGACCAAACTACCCAACAAGGTTGAAATTTTCAACATACCTGGAGACTTGGAAATTGCTGCACATTCCTTAGTGAAAAATGAAAGCAATGACTTCCAAACTGGCAATACTTGTGTGTGACCAAGAGTGCCAATTACTCTCACCAGTGACAGCATAAATCTGGGGAAAAGCAAATGTGATGTTGGCTTATAAAATATCTATTAAAAGTGAACATAAGGAGAAAATACAGGGTGTCTCAAAAGTCCTCATACTCAAAGTTTGGCAATTTATAGTAGATTAATGGCTAACAATAGCCATCCATGGTTTCACGCGGCGCATGCGGGGCCGCCGCCCGGCTCTTGGTCTGTCTTTCACACTTCCTGTGTCACGAAAACGTTTCATAAACAGTTCATAAACAGTAGCCTTATAAGGTGTCGGTCTATCAGGGAATCTCCTTCTAAAGATTTCAACACCCCATTGATAACATTTTCACTCAAAGTACGCTTCCAACATAGCGACCCTCTGTGCCCGCTTAAGACTCATTGTCGACTGACTCACACTTATGTCCCTCTACCCACCCATGAGCGAAGTCACGTGACCGGTACATTACTCGGCAATCTTCTGTGATGTTGCCAGCATGTGCCGCGTGAAACCATGGATGGCTATCGTTGGCCATTAACCTACTATAAATTGCCAAACTTTGAGTATGGGGACTTTTGAGACACACTGAATAAGAGAAGGTCCTGTTGCAGTCAGTGATGTCAAAAACCAAACAACTATGAACCAAGATAATGCGAGTATATAATTACAAAAACTAAAAATAATGCATAAAAAATGATACAAGAGGGAGCATTAATTTGATATAGTAGGGGCCTTGTTGTGTAGGGGGAACAACACTGCAGAATATAACTTTTACAGGAGCTAGAATAAATGGTTGATAGCAAATGAAGGTAAGTGCATGTTGCTCAAATGTAGCCACCATACATCAATACAGGAAGAGGACTGAAAGAGTAGTAATAACAACAATGGTGAAGAAAACAAATTATGAGAGTATATACAGACCTGGGAGGAAGGAGCAGTTTTCCCTCATACACAAGAAGAGACTCTGGTATTATCTTCTGGTTCTCCAAGGAGGATTTGTGTTCCTTCAGGCCTATCAAAATTCTGCTAAGCATTTTGGGTAAGTTCCTGAGCTTGACACAAACCTCCAGAGTTTCACACAGTAGATCATCATATGCCGAGTACAGAGCATCCATGCCTGGTGCCATGTCAGAGACTTTCGTGTAACGGTAAATATTCATCAAATTCTTAAATATGTGATTACTCATTTCTTGTGGAAGCATTATCAACAAGATGTGGAGACATTTGTATCCTTGTACTGTTGCAGGCATACTCTTTGCTAGCATATCACCTAAGCTATCTAACCATATGCTTAAGCTCACGTGTTTCACCTTTGTTGCAAAGTCCCAAGAACATGATTCTACAGCACGTAGGATGGAAAACAGGAGAGCTTCTTGCTTTCCCTTGTCAAGTTTTGTTGGCTTCAAGTTTTGAGCAGCAAGGCTATTTTTCTCAATGGAAGGCATCTTAAAATCTGGGAAAGACACATCTAACATATGGCAAAGAACAATTAGCATTTCGTAATGAAGTATATGTTTATTTTTCATTCTAATAGAAAATTCAGTAAGGAATTCAGCTAATAAGAACTGACTGACTTGCACTTCTTCATCCTCAACAGCTGAACGTATGGACAGAAGCAACTTTTCTACATCAGTCGACAATGTTGCCTTTGTCTCTTCAAAAAACAAAGTGTGCAGACTTCCATTGTAAACACTAAATAGTTCATGGTTAAACAAATTCATGGATACCACCAGCTTAACTTCCTTTAATAAGTTTTGCACAATCTCTCTCTTATCGTCCTGAAAGGCTGCATTTAGTCTAGCACAAGGTATAAGAAGGTGATCCACCACAGACACCAGAGCCTGCACTCTGTTTGGTTGACTCTGGAGGTGGGTGCCAATTTCTTGTGTCATCTTCATTGTAAGGGTCACATCAAAATCACTTTTATGACCCTCAAGTAACCAATTTACAAGGCCCTTGATAAGGAAGATGCAGTGATCATGGGAGTGAGTGATCAAGGGAGCCAAGACTAGATTGGACATCATGGTATGACACACTTTGACAGCTGCCTCACGCACACTGTCTTCTGAACTGCTGTTGATGATGTCCACCAAGGCCTGTGAGAAACACAAAGCATACCGGGTAGTTACCACAATGCTTTCACTTGTAAGCATTTACTGTTAAAATGATTCTAATAACTCCTAGAACATAGATAGCTTCCTCCCCTCACCCTAGACCTTTAAAATTATATACAGAACAGATTAACCTTTTGCCCATTGAATTCTGGGAGCTTTCAATATATTCCAAAAAATACTATTAAACAAGTAGAATCTATGTAAATACTCAACATTCACCACAGACGAAGGATTGACCCTAAAATGCCAGGTTTTAATTGAGTGTGTTGCTTGGGTCCCAATATTCCTTATCATAAAAAAAAACATTATATACCCAATAAATTATATACCTACTGATTATTAAAAGTGAATTTAACATTTAATTATGCAGTATAATTGAGGTTACATGAGGACTAAAACAGGGTACGGTATACTGTATAGAGGATAAAACATTGTGTGCCGTATTTTCTTTCCGAAATGTATGAAATCAATCTTGTGTTTACCTAATTTTATGTATTCCTTTATGTAAGGTTTTGAATTTACAAAAAGATGCAACCGTATCCTTTCAAGAGTCAAGAAAATAAGGAGCTGACTGAACTCATACCTCAATGAAGTTAGAACTGATAGGACAGAGCCAACTGTTATTGCAGAGAGCCTTTAGTCTCCGAGTGTTGAGAAGAGTGTCTACCGTCCTCCATGCTGCTTCCAAGTCTTCTGTGTTGAGTGTTAATGCCTGTGAGAGATAAGGATTAGTTTATTAGCAGCAGGAACTGTCAAACAAAACAACACCCAAATAGTTCCTGGCACAGTATATCAAATGAGGTTCCTATTACAAATTCGCATACCAATTACATTTTCACAGATTCAACAAGAAAAACCATTACAGTATAAGAACTAAACCCTCAAAACATCAGTTACATTATTTGCCACACTACACAAGCTTCCCTCAAGTTACAGAATATTGCATTAATGGAATCAGAGAAGTAAGGTATGAGTTTTATGATACTACAGGGGAAAAATTTGTGCTAATGGAAAATCTTACAAACCGAACTTAAAAGTGAGGAATGTATAAAACTTGACAACCTCCGTTTCAATAAATACAAAATAAATACCCACAGTGCTGTATATTAATACTTTTTAACTACCTGTAAACTATAATGATATACGGTACCATTAGCCACAGTCCTACAGTCTTAAATGGGTTATAGCCAACCTGACTGAGACAGAGCTGGGTGGTTGGTAGCACTGTCACTTGTTCCCAGTGCTGCCTAAAAGAACAAATATATACTCACGTTTACATTCAATAAGTAAAGATAACATATTCCATGTGAACAAGCATTAGCTATGATATAAAAATAAACCAAATAACACATAAAATCAAAAGTATTACAGGTAACAGATGAAAAAATGTCTAATTTAGCCCTTTTGCTGCCCGCTCGAGTGGTCCAAATCTCACTCGTAAATAGGCCAATGACGCTTATGCATAGATTTCTCATTTAAATTATTTTTCATTTACCATTTAGCTACATGTAAAATTATGCAAATTTCCTCTCTTTTTTTTATTGCATTAAAGATAAATTATTTGACTAAGTAATAAAAGAAGAAAATAGTTGTATAAATGATAGGGGATGGCTGCATCCCCACACGAGTGGTCTGGCCAGTGCGAGTGCTCAGAGTCAGGGGAGACATCTCCCTTCCATGGCCAGTGTAGTAATGCAAATAGTGTTAATGGCTGGTGAAGAGGTTAATATTTATACTGTACTGTACATGAATATATATAAACAAAGCCTTTGGGATAACTACATCCAAAAAGGACATATATACATACATACCTTATTAGCCAGGAGTTCAGATAACCACATAATAACAACATCCTCTTTTTGTGTAACGAGGACATTGAGTGGGGCCAAAAATGCTCGCTCTCCGAGACTGAGTCGCTCCTGCAGCGGCTCAGAGCTGTACAAGCGTGCTTTCAACCCTAAGAAAACAAATATGAAGATAAGTACAGTAAGGATCTAAAATATATACAGTATATATTCTGTCCAGGTAAGTAGACTAATGTCTTGTGAATTATAAGGCAGCTGAAAATCATAAAATTACAGTTTTAATCCAAATCATTGTTTAGCTGTTCAATAAAATCTCAAATTTACATTGTACCATTTTACCAGAAATGCCAATTCTAAAGAATGAAAGTGTCAGGCTGGTAAAATTTGAGTTTGGCGACCTATTTACACAGCAGCTATTTTAGCTTCAAAATGGCAACTACAATGTCAAAGAAATGACTGGAGACACCAACACTAGGTAAGCAAATGTACACAACATCCTTTTGCTGTATGCCCTTACAGTCTCCTATAAAGTCTGTGAAAGTGTCTTTCAATTTTACTATCTGTATATCTAATAACGTATAGTAATTCATTCATGAGATGATCAATGCCACTTTATCCTTCTGAACTATATCTTACAGAATAAAATATTGTAAAGTTAAGAACAAGGGCCCAGGTTAACCAGGTACAAGAAAAACCTGAAGAAGAAAATGCTATACTGTTCCTCCACCTGATTTGTTTTATTCTTCAGGTAAGAAATAAGATTTCTACACGCTATATTTTTTGTTAGGTAGCTGATTAACTCAGACCCTTGTTCTTAACCATTACTGAAAAATATTTTTTTTTGCATCTGTTGAGTCATACAGAACAGCTGGGGAAGACAACTCCAAACTACAATTTTATTTCCTACTTTGTCACAGATGTTTATGTCTCAGTTACAATCAACAGGTCATAATGCTGGATACAAGAAGTTCCAATAGGTAAAGCAAAAGCCATTATTTAACTACAGCTAAGGTAACATATCTAACAGAAGCCATTTCAAATTACTGTAGCTCCCGGGTGCTGCTATCCTGACACAGGTAAACCACTTAATTTTTCTTCATAATCCACCACGCATAATATCCCACTGACACGATTTTGACTGCTTACACAACGGCCATTTCAAGCATATAAATACTGTACTTCCAGCAACTGCTTCATTACCCGCATAATTATGATTTATCAGAAATAAGAAGACCAACTTCATCTAACCTAACCGGATCTTTTCTGTTTGGGGGAACCATTTTAAAGAGCTACATTACATTTCCCTATTTCATTACTTTGCAACAAAATTTACATATTACTTTTTTGTAATCTTAGATAAAGCTAAAAGGCATGGTATATACAGTATACTAATTGGTATGGATTATCTCTTGAATTGGGTGTAAGTAATCTTGGGTACAACTTATCTCGTGGGTTGGCTACGATTTCTCTTGGGTATGAGTTGTCTTGGGTAAGAGATGACCCTAACCCACCTGACTTGACCTAACCAGACCTGACCTAACCTGACCTGACCTAACCTGACCTGACCTGACCTGACCTAACCTATCCTAACCTAACCTAACCTGACCTAACCTAACTCTGATGGTGTTTTTAGGTAACCAGACTCTCACCATATGAGGGAATCACTGTTATTTCTTACCTTATTCCAAATTAGAATCTTTACTGAAGTCGAGAGAATACCAGATCTAAGAAATGCTACCGCTAATTTGTCTCCAAATATGCAATTAACTCCATATAATTGACACCCATCGCAGACTTCCATGGTCGGAAATGAATTTGAATTTCGAAGCACGAGACCCAAAATCACAATCGAATCTGATTGGGCAAAAAATACAGTGAATTCTTAAAGCAGAAACCACAATTCATTGGTATTCCAGATATCACCAAGAATGAAATGTGTCACCGATCATTTGTGAATTACCCTAACTATTGCTACATATTCAATTATGACCCAGCTGAGCAAAATCCACGTTTTCCCAACTAGACAAAAAGTTGCCTTACTCAGACCACTAGTATAATTTAACCACATTATACTGATAAATCATGATACTTTACTACCAAATAATAGACTGTGCAAACCTCCTCTAGTTATAAGATCATATGTGTTGATAAATTAACCAAATATTAACGCCACTCCTCACCTCCCGCTGATGCCATGCTTGGTGTTGTCACTGACGGAGGTAAACAATCAGTGTTGCCAACTCGCTAGGCTGGTACCTAAAAGTAGCTAAATGTCGCTAAATCTTCCATGGAAAGTCGCTAGCTATTATTCCCCCCCTTCAGTAATTTGATGCAAATAATATTTTCATAATGCCGACTATAATGGACGGAGTATAAATAAAATGCATTATGTAAAAATATCATTTTTCAGATTTTCTGTGAAATGTGGCGCAAGAATATTGCATATTATCCCAGAACACTTTGATCTTTTTAACTTGAGTTCACTGCCTGCCTTGCTCTCACTAAAACATACTTTACACACTTCACTTAAGTGTTCTACCACACGAATAGAACAATGTTCAGCTACAAACATGGCCAGAGTTCCCTCCACTTTTTTTGCTTCAAGTTTCTTGAATGGTAAAATTGTCTCTTTCTGCACTAAACGGCTATTCTGCTTTCTTGTGTTTTTTTTTAGTGTTTTTGTGTTTTTCAATGTCGCACAACTTAGCAGACAAAGTACACTTGCAAAATTTACAAAATCCTTTTTTATTATCTCCTGGCACCTCCAGAAGCCAATTTTTGTATGTCATCTCTGAGCCATTCCTTCCTAAATCGCTGCGAATACTGTGGCTTACCCATTTTCTATTGGGACTATGAAGGGTTCAAATTAATAAACAGCATGCAAACAAGCGGAAACTTTCCTTGATGGTTTTTGGCAAAGCGGGTGAACAGTGTCGGGGCAACTGTATGGAGTCTATGGGTCACCCATGGTGGACGCGTATGAGAAGTTTGGAACCACGCAGGCTTGATAGAATTAATTCTATAAGATGTTTTGCTAATATTCTTTAAAATTTAGCGTATTAATGAAATTCATATTGCATATCTGACAAAGAGGTAAGTTACCCAGGTGCTACAAAGGCGAAGGTATCATGGCAACATTAGCCATGGACGGGCTGACATCAAGTGATCAGGAAATAGACGTGTCCCTCCTTCTGTACCACGACCCGTTCAAATTAAACTTTTCTTATTATTTATTGTCCCTGTAACCCCGTTACTATATATTATGGCTCGAAATTAGGAAAATTGAGTTTTCATGGACAGTCCAAAAGTATCCAGAAAGTCGCTAGATTTCTGTGGATATCTCTAGATTTGCGACAAGTCGCAAATCGCTCTAAAATGTCGCTAGAAAAAAACAAAAAGCTCTAGATCTAGCTACAAAGTCGCTAAGTTGGCAATTCTGCTGACTCTGCCCAGTTGGCAGCGCGCCAAGCCTCCCCTCCCCCCCAGACACACACACACACGCATTCACCTTATATTAAATCTTGTGAGTTTCCTCAGCTTCTGTAATTCTGTGCATAGATTACGAGGGGCTGACCCGGTCTTTTGCACAGACAGAGTACAGAAGCTGTCGGCATGTCTCACAGGGATCAAAATGATACCCTGGACGATGGGATTATGAGTTTTAGTGTGGGAGACCACTCCCCACCCACACTCAGTCCCCACGTCCCCCACAGTGACAACGCCCAGTCACCCACAGAATCTCCTCGTTCGTCGCGAGCAAGCTCTCCTGCGATGCATGCGTCCACAGATCTCCTTTAACTGATTAGGTGGATGGAAACTTCTCGACGCCAGGACGATATTGCAAGGAGAAATGAGGAAGAAATTCAGTACAGGGAGTCTGAAAAACGGCGCCACAAAGAGGAACAGACACGCAGAGAACTCGAAGACATACGTAGAAGTGAAGATGACCTGAGAAGAAGAGAAGATCAAGCCAGATTTGAAGTCTTGATTTCTCTGTTAGCCTCCCCACAACGACCAACTGTACAAAATTCCTAGACTAGAGGCACTGGTACCTCATTTCCCAGAGTCGATTCAACAGTTCCTCAAAAGGCTGCAGCACAAACGCGTTAAGGGACAGCGCAACGAAGCACTCAGAAGAAGAGAACTCCTCCAATGTTCAGAGGAAGTTGATGTTTGTCCTGGAAATTCCCAAGTCTGTGAAGATACACAACTCAAGACAATCATTTTAACGGGTGTTCGAGATGAAGAGCGTCTCATTTCACTTGACCCCACTTCCTCCCTTCAAGATGTTGTTACAAAATGTCGAGCGTAATATATTTATGACTTGTGAAATGCACGAAAGACTTGTGAAATGGGTAAATAAAGAAGACAAAACAGATGTTAAGACTTAAGAGTAAACACTAGATAAGAAAGAGTTATCATCGTTCTCTTAACCTCCATGTGATACAGTTTACCTCTCTCACCTGGTTTGTAGCGGGTGTTGATGACCGTGGGCAGGTAGGTGTGTGTGTGTGTGTGTGTGTGTACATGTGTGTGTGTTCATTAAGTTTATCTCATCAAACACACACACTTGGGAATCCTGCTACGTTAAGGCATGAGGAAACTGTGTGTGTGTAGACCACGTGAAACACTCCAGCTTCAACATATTCCGGAGACTTTGTGTACATAAATCCTTACGGCCATATACAAGAGCCTAAGAAAACACTTCTTTATTTTACACCAGATGATTCATATTACGCTCAATAGACCATAAAACATGTAGCTATGCCTTATTGTTGAGTCCCCCATCTGAGGCGCCCGTACTCTCCCCATTTCAAGACGCCCGCGGCCTCCGTATTCTCTCAATCAAGTGCATCACAGACTCTGATATTTCTTAATACCTCATGTCATGTTGCGAAATTTGAAATTGAGAGAGAACACACTAATATTACAGTGTATTAGATATGTCTGATTACAGATGAAACATTCAAAATTCCTTGTGAGTGATGCTGAAAGCTTCAACTGAATTTACTGTTAGTGATATTGTCAAATAAGTTAAGTCGAGTCTGCCAGTAAAAGTAACGAATCTCTATTATCGCCCTTGGGGGATGCCTGAGTTTCCAATTGCTACTTAAGTTAGATAATTTTGATTCACCTGATGGATATTTTGTTTACTGTTTCAGTTGGACATAAACCAAAAGAAAGTTATTTGAAGTAAAAAAGATATATTGTTTACCATTGAATGTTGTATTGTTGAAGTTATCCGTCAGCTCCGAAGAGTTTAAGTGCAATGTAATGATAGATAGATAGATAGATAGATAGATAGATAGATAGATAGATAATCTTAGATATTCAGTAAAATTATCATCTAAGTTTACAATTGGTTTGGCCTGTATATACTGAATGAACTTATTTATGTCAACAAATTATCACTTATATTTTGTTAGATTTACAATTTTTGATAAGTAAACAAGCATCGGATGGCTTTGTTGATTATACTTGGTCAAATTGTCTTTCTGTTTACCCATGTTTGCTCACCCACACTGTCTAGGTACACTGAAAATTGTATACAGTATCTGGAGTGACTATATACACTGTCTATATACCTATGTTTTCTATATGCATACTGAACTGTATACATTCATTGTTTACATACATGCCTAAATATGATGGTTTTACTGACTAAGAATCTATTTAGTAATGTATATATCGGCACATCATGTAGCGTACAGTTTATTTAAGTTTATGTCTGCTGGTGCCCGTTTTCTCTAATACGGGTAATGGTGCAGACATTTTCTTTTATACCAAAACTTTCTCGTTGGCGATATTAATAATGATATCATTCACCACTGCTCGACTTGTTAGCTGCTTGGGCGGTCAGCCAGGTGCCTGTTAGGCAGTGTTGACAAGTACAGGTTCTAAAATATATCAGTACATGCATTACTGATGGTTGAGTCTGTCCTTAAATGAGCTCACACTGGTGTTGTGACGGCAGTGTTGTGACTGTGTAATCAAAACGGGAAGCACCTCACTTTTGAGGAGCTTTATGAGGTATGTGAACCATATGCTCATAAGACCTACTAGCTTAGTTGCTTGATTCACCTTCTCACAGTGGTCCAAAATCTTCAGTTCGTCGTCAGCAGGCACACCCAGTCCTTTTCACACTTGGTCTCAGTTAAACCATTTCATTTTTGGAAGCCATTTTTCATATTTTATTTGACTTACGACAGACGATTTTTTACTCAGCTCAGAGGTGAACCCGACACAAAGTTAGTAGACTATATCCACTAATGTTTCTTCGTCCCATTGCCTTGGCAGTCTAGATATATTATATAAATAATTACACCATGCTTCAGGATTTGGGTTCACCCATCCTGCACCTTAAATAAGTGTGTCAAGCAGGAGCGTCCAGGGACTTGACACATTATCCATTAATTATATTCCTTTTCATGATCAGTTAAAAAGCCCCATGGCACACGGTGTGCCGGGTTAAGACTTTCGTAGGCCTTAGGCACCTCCAAGATATGGGGCCCCATTTGACAGCATATTCACTAATAACACAAGCTAGTACCTAATTATAAAATGTGATGTCGAAAGAATAAGATTCAGTGATGTTTGCCATGAATTGAGTAAAAGAAAATGGGTTAGATCAGCTGTTCTTGTACAGTACAGAAATAGTTTTGTTTACAAGAAGCACAGCTAGCTGGTGGACACTAATAGGATTAAGTAATAAATAAATGGAAAAAAAGTACCTCAGTATCAATTTAATAATAACCTGTAGAAAAAGGGGAAGAAAAGTTCTCGTTTTATTTTTCGTAGGCCCCCAATATCTCATAGGCCCTCGGCACTGTGCCTACTGTGCCTAATGGATAATCCGGGCCTGGGCACACCTCATGAAGTGTTCCAAGATAATTTATTCGTGAGTGATCCTCATATTAATTCTTATGAAGTCATTACTTTATTCTTCAAATCATCTGACACACATGATCTCTCTCTCTCTCTCTCTCTCTCTCTCTCTCTCTCTCTCTCTCTCTCTCTCTCTCTCTCTCTCTCTCTCTCTCACTCTACTGTTTTATCTCCCTTCTTAATCATCGTTCACTCCTACATATCCTGATTTTTCACATTTAATTGGACATATCGTATCATGATAGACGTCAGAATTCACCCTTAACTCGTTGTCAGTCTGTAATTCTACCTTTTCGACTGCAAAAGAGCCACAGTGTTTTCCATCTGTCT